GGCCCCTTCACTGCTCCAGCTGAGAGTCAGGGCATCTTTTAGGAGGCAAAAATGAGCATTCTGGGAGTGGGGGGAGAAAAGAACAGTGAGGCAACAGAGGCATTCAAATAGCTTCACTTAACCTGCAAGATGCTGCAGGGAGCTAGTAGAACTAAGCAAGTACACCCAGGATCCAGGAGTTAAGGATGTTAACTTAGAGTTAGAATAATTTTATTGACATTTTAATTTTATTGTAACTCTGCTTTACTGTACAACTTGTTCAGTTTTCTGCATCATTTGCTCTTCAGGAAGACTGATAACTTGTTCACAGGCAGCTCCAGTGAAGGGCTAGCTATAAAGGGAAGGCAACTTCTGGAAGTTGCCTAGAAGGTCTCATCTGCCCCCAAAAGATGGGGCAGTGGCTCTTGGCAGAACCCGGCCCTTTTCAGCAAATAGGAGTGTATCGATGCAGATGTATGGGTGCTCCCTCCTTGGGATGCAAACACAAATGCAAGATTACTAAGATTACCATGCATTCAGTAGAATAAAGGTATCCAAATAACCAGGAGATCCCGCTTTATATTTTTCATTCTACCATTAAACAGAAACTGGTTTTCTAAAATCCTGTCAGAGTGGTAACACATTTTTTTAAAAAAATTGAGGCCAGTTGGGGGCTTCAATTACAGAAACTTCAGAAGCCATCAGAGCTAGTAGCCCCTTATTGATTGTATGTCTTCAAACTCTTTTAATTTGGGGCACAGAGCTACAACTGCTATCTGGAATTTTTTAGAGGTTAATTGGGGCAGGGGTCGCCAACCTTTTGGACGTCAGGGACCACCAAACTCATAATTTTAAATCCCAGGGACCACTAATATGAATTTTGACTGACGGTGGCTTGCTGATGTTAGTGGGAGAGAGAGAGATCTGATCTAACCTCCCTCCCTCCCTCCCTCTCTTTCACACACACACACACACACATACACAAACACACGGAGACAGGAGGATTCAAATTTCTTAACAACCGGTTCAGTGGGCATGGCCTAATCTGTGGGTATGGCTTGGTGGTCATGTGACTGGCTGGGCATGGCTTGTATGTAAATATAAATATTTATATAAATATTGAATTTTTTATAAAAAAGAGCAACTTTCACCCAAAACCAGGCAAAGCAGGCAGGCAGATTGAATTGCTCACAGATTCACTTAGAGATCTGTGTTCCTGCCATTGGTTAGCTGAGTCTGCACTGCTTCAGTCCTAAGGAAGGTTCGGCTCTGCTTTAAGATCTAAAAATTAGCTAGAAAACAAGAAATCAAACGATTTCCCGCTTTCTAGCTAAGTTAAATCTCCCGGCCCAGCAGAACAGCTGATGATTGGAAAAAGGAAAAGTAGCAATTTAGCAGGCAAGTTTGCCAGATAAGGAGTGAGTGGGTGGGGAGGGAGGGCCATGTGGGCAGCGCAGCCTTGTGTTCCTGCGCAGCCTGGATTAATTGCTTTGGGGATGCTCTGGGAGTGACATTTCTCTGTGGACCACCAAAATTTTCTTGCGGACCACCAATTGGCAACTGCTGAACTGGGGTATTCACTCTGCAATTCCATTCATCTCATGGAGCCTCATCTGTTATTGTGTGTTGACCCAAGCTCACTTTGGCACAGAAGCCCAAATGCATAAACCATGGTTCTCAACTGACAAATGCATTCAAGCTGAAAATAAAACAAAATGCCAAAGGGATAATAAAGATTTCTGGACATTAAAAACTTTCTTTTTCATAAGCAGGAAGGGAGAGGAAAAGAATAAGGGCAGGATCTGGAAGAGGGAGGAGACTGCCTGGAATTAAAAAGAATCTAAAGTAAAACTTCAACAAGACTTCTAAAAGATACATTTTAACTGAAACTTTGCAACTAAATAGTAACCCCAGGAAGATAAAATGAAAAAAAAAAGAGCAAAAAAGAAACAACTTGCGTGCATTTGGATTATTTGGTGACCTTTGGATTTTTGGATATTATATTTGAATGTCTAAATCAACTGGGTGGTTGTTTAAAAATTTATACAATGGCACCACTTCTGGATGAATTGAAAATGGAACTTAAAAAGTACAAAGAAGATGAACAAGAAGGGAAGGGTTCTTTTGGCTTTGTCTTTCAATTTTTAGAAATGGAGATTTGGAACTATGACAAACAAGAAAAGACTGCAAAACAAGAAGACTGGGGCAAAGAAGAAGCCATCTTTAATGAACGAGTAATTCTATGTGGGGAAGAAAAAGGAAAGGAGGGAAAGAGAATGGAGAATTTAAGACTTATAAAAACAACCAAAGAAAAGAAAAATAATTCGAAAAATAAGTATAATACTGGAAAGCAACAGAAAAGGGGAATACAGAAGAGAGAAACAGAGGTAGAGAGACAAGGGGGTAAAAAGGGGAGAGAGAAGAAGAGAGGGAAGAAGGAAAGGAAAAGAAGTTACAAAGGACCGGAGCAAGATATAGAGAAACAGGACCTATTTAGAGATAATGGGTGAAAATTTAACTGAAAAAGGGATTCTGTAAAGGTACATAAGGTTGTATTGTTATATTAGTAATAGAAATAACTTTAGAAAATTGGAAACAATGTATGATTAAAATGAGGGATAAAATAGTTAGTGTAATTTAGTGAAATGTTTGTGAATAAAATAAGTGAAATAAAATAAATGAGAAAATTGAATTAGGAACAGGAACATTTTTATTAGTTAATGTTTTGTAAAATATAAGTGAAGGGGGGAAATTAACTATGGAAAGCTTATAATTGTTCCCATAGAAGTATGATATTTAATTGAAAAGTAATGTTAAAGATGTTAAGACTTTAATGAATATTAATGTTAATGATAGAATTGAATTGGAATGGAATGTTGTTTTAATTATATACATTTATAATTTTTTTCTTTAAGAATATAGTGTGTATTTTAAGAATGTACCAAGCAGAATCTGAATGGAAGTTATATATTATATTGAATGTTACAACTTTAGGGAAAAGATATAAAGGCGTCATACTCCAATCAGTAACTACAGGAGAAATTTTGTTTAATGAGAAAAGATAATAGGTAATTGAAACAGGACAGACAAAAAATATAAATACAATGATTTGAACTGAGATGAGATAATTAAAATAAAATTGAGAAAATTAAGAGGAGAGAAGCTATGCAGAAAATGTAAAATAGTAATAAGATATGGAATAGAATATAAAAATGAGCATGAACCTGAATTTGTGTCTGTACGAAGAAATGTAACCCGGGATTATGCTGCTTTCAAAAAATATGTTTTATTTGTATTTTTTTTCCTCTTTGTGAAAACTCAAATAAAATTTACAAAAAAAACCAAAAAAAACAAAATGACTGTGACATGAGAGGCCAAGCAAACAGTGAATATCTGAAATTGATAAAATCTCCTACACCACAAACAGAAGTAAAAGAGGCTCTGAAAGCAGCAGCCAAATGGTGAAGTCGTATTTCTTGGTACAGTCCTACCTCTCCATCTTCTATGATCCACAGACACAGACTTCACCCACCTTCTTCACCAGGGTTGTCTCTGCAATATCCAACTTGGCTTTCTTCGCATCTGAGCTACCCTGCTCTTCCTGGCTGGCTTTGGTAGTTTTTGTCTTTTCTCTGAAAAGCAGGGTGAGGGAGCGATCAGGGAGGTTAATATAATAGTTTCCGCCGCTCATTTCAGTCAGTAGTTGACTTACAGAATGATAGCCTTCTTGTCTTCCAATACAGATGTCCAAGAAGAGCTGCTCTTGGACCCATACCCCCTCCCAAGGATATTGAGCGGCTTCAGATACAGGTGTCAGCCTTAGATTCCAAGCCAAGAGAAACTCACTCAACAAATTCATGTTCACCCAGGTTGGCAAACATGTAGCCGTGATAGCCAAAGACGTCACCGGTGAAAAACTTGATGCCATGTTTCTTGCATATTTGGTCCACCTTCAGGAGGACTTCCTGGGTGCAGCATGTCAGGCAGACCTGGAATATGAAAAATAGCAGGGAAGACAGAACAAGCAAACATCAACCGCAGCTGTTTTCTCTTCCCTTGAACAGGAAATAATTCCCCCAGGCCTTCCCAGATGGTCCTCAAGCCTCAGAGAAGGCCATAGCTTGCTCACCAAACCAGCAGGCAGCCCTCCTTCACCCCACCGGGAGTCTTGTGGAGTCAGTGGGCAGAGAGAGGGGAATGGCCCAGGTGTGGCCGGATCCCTGCAGGGACTCACCACATCAAAGCGAGTGAAGAATTCCTCTGGTTTCTGCTCAATATTCTCCGGATCTGCTTTCACATCAACCATGGGATTGAGGTCCTGAACGCGCTCCAGGGACGCCTCCGCTCGGTTCTTTCCCCGGGAGCTGGCTGGAAGCAGGAACTGGCCTCGCGCGTCTTCCAGGGACACCTACGAGGAGCGGGCGGGTCGGAGCCGGGGGCACCGGGCACCGTTCCCCTCCCACCGCTGCCTTCCCGGGAAGTAGCCTCAGAGGCAGCCGGGCCCAAGCCTCCCTCCGACTGCGCTTCTCTTCCACCTTCATAGCCGCCGAGGCCGAGGCAAGCGGGCGGCGGAAGTCTCCTCCCGCTGCTCCGACCCTAACAACCGCCCCGCTTCTCCGCCGGCCCTTCGGACCCACCTGGCGGTGGTCGAGCAGCGTCAGAGCCTTCACGCCGGCCAGCGCCAGGTTCTTGGCCACCTCCGCGCCCAGCCCGCGTAGCCCGGCCACCAGCGCCCGAGAGCCGCGCAGCCTGCGGGGCGGAGAGACACGCGTCAGCGGCGCCCGAGGTCTCCCCGCGCCTCACTCCTCTCGCGCGCCCGCCCCCCACCCCCCGGGCGCCGCGCTACCGTTTCTGCGCCTCCAGCCCCCAGAGGCGGATCTGCCGGTCGTACTGCGCCGCCTCCTCCTCGCTGATCCCGCCGCCGGAGCGGCCCTTCTCCTCTACCATGGCGGCCACGCAGCCGCCCCACCCCCACCTTCCTCCCCTCGCGCCCGGCCGGCTTCTTCGAATGGCGGCGAGGAGGCGGGGTCTGGGGAGGAGCCGCGTCGCACCCCGCCTCTGGGGGGGGGAACGACGCGGCCGCTCGGGTGCGCCCGGCAGTTTCCGGCGCCGTTCGGGCGTTTCCGCCGTCGGCCCTGCCCCCGCGTTAGCAGCCTCGGGTCGGGTCGGGTGTGGCCGCGCGCGCCGCGCCTGGCTGGCTGGCTGGCTCGGGCGTCGCTCTCTCTCTCTCTCTCGCTCTCTCTCTCTTCTCAGGCGGGCCGGCGCCATTTTGTGTGGTGCAGCCTCGGAGCCAGCCTGCCGTCCCTACCGCCGCCGCCTGCCTGCCTGCCTGCCGGCCAGCGAGCCCACGATCGAGCGACCGAGCGCGGCGCCAGGCCCGCCCGTACAGTGACTGTGCCCCGTGCCCCCGTCGCGCCCGCCCGCCCCCCCAGCCCGGCCCCCCCATGGCGGTGGAGAGCCCCAGCGTGCCTCCGCCCAGCAGCCCCCACGCCAGCAGTCCCCCGGCCCCCTCTCCGGCCGCCGCCGCCGCCGCCAACCCCCTGCTCCTGCACGGCCCCCTCGGCAGCCCGGGCCTCGGCGGCGCTGGCGCCCGGCCGCTCCAACAACACCTCCTCCTCCACGGGCCCGGCCCGGACGAAAGGTCCAGTACCCGCCTCTCTTTTCTCTCTCTCTCTCTTTCTCTCTCTCTCTCTGGGTCTCGCGGGGGGCGGCGGGCGGCGGGGGTCTCGCGGGGCGGGGGAGGGAGCCCTCACCAGCGCCGGGGCGAGCCGGGCCGGGCCGACCGGCGGTAAGTAGCAGCAGCAGCAGCAGCAGCCGCCGCGGCCCATTTCCTCCCCCGCCGCGCCGACCGAGGGGTTCAGCCGGGTTAAAAAGCCCGAGCCCGCCGCGATGCGTCCGGGAGCCCCTCGTGGGCCGAGTCCGCTTCCGCTCCGAGGTTCGGCTGAGCTCGAAGGAAAACTGTAAGCAGCCGCGAAGTGCGACAATCACAAGAGTCCCCAAAGTCTCACCACACGCTCCCGCGTCCCCCCCCCGCGCCCCCTCCCCTCCCCCCCCGCGACCGAGCGTGGCCGTGTACAGTACAAGCACCTGAGCGCCCCTGTTGTGGCCCGTTGTTAACCACACACCGTGAACAGTCCACGCTTTTCCCCACACGAGATCAAGGAAGCCGGGTCCTGCCCATTAGGTTAGCCCCGAGCCCGGTCCGCTCCAAAACCGGCCCCCAGTTTGGTAGCATAACCGTGTACCCTGGCACACTCTTTCCTTTTTTTTCTGAGTGGGGAGGAAGCCACTCTTGCTCATCTAAAATAATGTTGCCTTATTTGTTCCCCTTTACTTGCCTACCAAGTTGGTGTTGTGCTCATGTACTAGAAAACCTAAATTTACAAAACAAGGAAATAAGTTGGGCATTTTTAAAAGTTAACATACAGTACTAATGCACCATTAAGCCAACACCTCTATAGTTCTTTGTAATTTCTGCCTCTTTAGTGTGGTTGTCTCTGAATTCACACTGTAGGGTCAATCGGGTATTCTTGGCGAGCATAAATTTTCCTTTCTGGTACTAAAATGTGATGGCCAAAATAGGAGTAGTTAACTTGATCAATGTTTATAGCTTGGGACGAAGTAGATTTCACTCGCATACTTTATTTTATGAAGCAACAAACATACATTTTCTCAAAGAACACATTTCATTGTTGTAACAGCTCACTATAACATATATGAAACATTCAGTCACTATAACATATATGAAACATTTAGCTATTTTACAGCGTTTCAACCAACCTTTTAGAAATTTCCATAACCCAATTGACTTTTTCCCATTATTTCCGAGGAAGCTTGGGTCCACAGGAGAGCGAGGCAGGGAAGAGCAACCGAAAGCTGCCATTTGACTTCAGCTTTCAATGGCGATTGCCATCTTGCCGTTCCAGATTTATAATTTTAAATTAATCATTAAGCATAAGTGTGGATGAAGCTGTCTCTTAGCATTTAAAATAATTCCTTGATATTTCTAAACCTTAGACCAGAGCTTCTGGGGTCCATCAGAATCTTTTTCTTGATAGTTGTTATAAAATGGGGCTCGGAGTTCGCATAGGAATAGACAGAAGAGCATACCAAAATTTTATATATTGTTTTACACTGTAAATTCTGATCCTTTGCCCAGTAGTTTGGTATACACTCCAAATATGCTGGTTGATGGTCTACAAAGCTTCTCTATTTTTCCCTGGATAGTTTTGCAGGAAAAAAGTGGGGAAAATCAGGATTGGGAGATTCCAGGGTTAGGAATCAGCTGGGCCAGCTGGCAGATTCCTGCTCTGCTGCTGTTTTGAAGTGGCATCTACTGACTTCCCACTGGTTGTCTGCTCTAAGAGAAACCTGTTGAATTTGGCACATTCCCTCTTGGAAGAATTGGCTCAGTGGTGAATCTTGTGAGTCAGCAGAATTCTAAAGGAACACAGCACCTTTAGTATTCTGACCTCTTCACTCAAGCGTTGTGTTTGCCAGCAGGCCCAGAGGTCGCCTGGCATTTGAATGGCTTCCAGAATTGCAGCAGGTCTCCTGGAGACAACAGCTGCACTGGACAGCTGCAAAGAGGGGCAGGTGAAATGTATTCCATATTTGGTCTTGGAGGTAGGGATGTCCTCAATGTTAAGGAAAACAAAGCAAAATTAGCCATCCCCATTTCATAGTGTGTAACCCGGCCTTTGAAATTCTCCATCAAAGGCAACAGCGCTCCTGCCTCCACCATGGAAGTGAAAATCCAAAGTCAAGTTAGTCTCTCTTGAAGCTCTGCTGGGATATAGAATTGATTAGGCGAATTGACTCTGATGGAAATCAGCAGAATATAGTCAGGCTCTGAGCGGTTAGGTAAAATTGTGTTTGGCTTGTTTTTGGTGGAAGCAGCATTTCTTTTTGTATGCTTTTACCTATTGAGTGAAGTGCACTTTTAGGTAAAATTTTACTTTGACCATTCACAATAATGTTCTTCAAATGTTACTGGTTGTGAGTATTGTTTTTTTTTGTAGCTGCAACTCTACGGTTTGCCTTAGTTTTGGGTTCAGTTCAAAGCAGGCTAGGAACTGTGGTGCTGTAGTTGTATTCGTTTCATCTTCCTTTATGAAGAAATCGCACTGTTAATGTTGCTGGCCCCAGTGTCTTGGGGTGTGTGGTGTGTATAACCAGTGGTGGCTTTGAGTGTGCGACTCAGCAGCCTCCCCTGGCTTGAGCTGGCACTTCCTGGATCCTCCTGGAAACTTTGAAAGAGAAGCACCGCCTCCATTTTGTGGCAGAGGGTTGCAGGGCAATCCTGCCAGGAGATCCGCGAATCAGGCTTGGCTGGGGAAGATTTCCGCGGCTTTCTTGTTCAGTGCCACTAGGCGGCTGCAGAGACAACCAGCTTTAAAAGAACAGAATTTGAAAAGTTATTTCTGTCTAGTTTTCAGGACAAAGCTTATTTAGTCTTCCATTTATTTTTCCTATTGGAACTAAGCCAGAGCCTGAAGTTCTGTCATTGAGATTCTAGTCTGTAATCTTTTTTAAGAAGTAGGGATACTTTATTTGACCAAGTGTGATTAGACACACAAGGAATTTGTCTCTGGCACAGAAGCACTCGGTGCACTTGCAGTCAAATGATAGAATCATAATCCTGTTCATAATAATCATAGTGCCAGTGTCATCGCTCCTCTCTGCTTGTCCTCCTCGTTTTCAGTGTTCTCCGCTTCAGCTCTGCATTATGCTCCCTTCAAGCTTTGTGATTGTTGAGTCCTTCCTACCCTTTTCCAGCTCTAATCTTGGTGCCTGGACCATACAGCTTCCCTGCACGTTCGGTTATCCCCCCCCCCCGCTCCTCCTTTGAGCTTCTGCCAAGGCTTCATTGATCCTCCAACAACCAGGCACTAATCCCTGCCCTGAATACTGCAATATTGCAGTATGAAAACTGCCTGAATTAGTGACAGGAGAGGGAGGAATGTCTGGATCAGACCTGGGAGGAGAATCCCATGCTGGGCTGCTGTCTGGCTCAAGTCATGTGATCTGTGAGCTCACACAGGTTGGCTGTGAGGCAGCAGCCTACCTGGAGAACATTCTGCAGAGGTAGCCAAATGTAGTCCCATGGTGGGCCAGCCACAAGACTAGCAATTCCCCTAATATTAGCTTTATCCTGTGAAAACACCATAGCTTCATGGCAACTACGTTGCTTTGTTCTGTAGCCGGGGTGAAAACGTTTGGCAAGTTGGAGGTGGCAGAATCGTACACTTTTCAGTAATAATAATAATAATTTTACTCAGAGTTGTAGTTAGTAGCTTGCCACACAGCTGTAAGCCAACATGTGTTAGATCTTCCGGGATTATTTTTGCTTTGACATTGCAGTCTTAAGACCCAGCACTTGACAAATCCCATATTTGGGAGCAGTCCCAGTGAATGCAGAATATCTGAGTAGGCATGCATTGGAGAGCCAGTTTGATATCATGGTGAGACCGTGAGCTCCAATCCTGCCATGGGCACAAAGCCAGCTGAGTGACCTTGGGCCAGACATTTTCTCTCCGCTCAGGAAGGAGGCAATGGCAAACTACTTCTGAAAAACCTTGCCCAGAAAAATGCAGAGATTTGTCCGGACAGTCTCCAAGAATCAGACAGGATGGAATGGAAGGGTGAAAAAAAGCACGCATTGGCAGGCTGCCCTTCCACCTGAAAACAAGTGGCAGAAACTAGGCCTAACAGCCTTAAGACTCCAGTCACCTTTTGTCTGCTATCTTGCCCACAAAATTGATTTCCTGGAGAGGGGTTCTGTTCTTTTCAGAAACAGTTCAACAATTCAACCTGATAAAATTGTATCACCTGATCTAATTTTGCTTTGGCCATGAAATCATAAGTGCACAGTTTTGCTGCTTGTGGTCTGTGAATAATTCTGGAGTTCATTTCTTGCTTTGGTCCTTTCCTAGTTTGACATGAAAGACTCATGTTGGGCTTAGCAGCGGGAAATATAGAGATGAAGAAGTCAGATTGAGAACAGAGTTCCAGCAGCAATTGACAAGCTCTTTGGGGGGAAATTTAAGGTCCCCAAAGAGACAAAACAAGTAAAGGGCAAGAACTAAGCTGGACAAGACTGGAGAGATCTTGCCTAAGTTTTGCTTCCTTTTTTCATTTGGATATTGATAAAACTAACTTGTCAGTAATTTCGGGAAGAAATGTCTTAACTTGTTTTGTATTCAGATATACCAGTAGCTTCCTGCAAATTTGATGGCTTGTAGTATAAAAGATATTGGCTTCTGTATTGGCATTTTAGTTTGGGAAATTGAGGATTTCCTATTTTAGAATACTGGAAACTAGACTTTTAAAAAGAAAATGGTTTATCACCAGATTTTATTTAAAAAATTGATTAGGCTCACTCATCATGCTTAGCCAAAGCCTAGTTTGTTGTGCTTTCTATGTTGTTCATATCCATTGTTCGTAAACTAATTTATTGCATTGCCAGTTGTTAACAGTAAGTTGTGGCTAACTAATTCTGCTTCAGAATGATTATGGAGCAGTTCCTATTAGATGCATAATAGCAAGGGCTGGACAGCCAGCTGCCAGGGATACTTGAGAATTCCATGTGCCATATCTGATGGCTTTTGTGACTGTGCAGGTGTCAGGCATGAAAGACCAGTTCTATACGCGAAGGTCCAATTAATCTAGACAGCTTATGAAGAGGAGTCTTCTAAACTAACAGTGAGTGCCTGTTTGGAGTTAGAGAAGGATCCATGGAATTCAAGTGGGTTGGATGGGGTTTGCCCCTTGTCCCTTGGAACAGGAAATGACCTTGAGGGACAGGAGGAAGAGCCACTTCTGAGGGGACACTCAGATAAAAGGGTCCTGAGCCCAGCCCAAGAATATAACATATGACACCTAACAGACAAATTCTCCTCAGGTCACATGAAGATTGAGGAAGCAAATTTAGACATGCAAGATTCCGTTCCCAAAGCTTTACAGTAAAAGTCATACGGGCCTGTGTGGCATCAGTTTTCTAGTCTGGTCTTCCATGAAGGGCCAAGACATCTTCTCCAGCAGGTGGCCCACCTTCCATTTTCTATAGACCATGCTAAAAAAAAATCCTTTTTATGTTGCTTTTAATTTCTCCTGAAGAATCACATTCTTTTTATACTTTTGCATTCCTTGTCGTGATTCTTCAGATACTACCTGTTTGCTGATAAATTTCTTTAATGATTACATTTTTGGGGGGTTATAGCTCAGTCAAATGCTCTGTCTGTCCACAGCAGGTGTTCCCCATTTTTTTTCTTATTGTATGTCAAGAATCATGTGTCACTGGGAATTGAGTGGCACATAAATGATGCTGGTCATCATCGTCATCATCACCATGATCCCAATCCAGCCATGTTCCCTTTGTCCTATAAATGTCCAGATGTTTAAGCTCTCCTAATTATCTGGTAATTGACTACAATAAATATTATTTATCTAAGCTAACTCCATAACTGAACAGATGTTGGCTTGTATCTGGATTTAATTATAATTTGAGTAACTACACTGAAAGAACTGGGCCTTAAATTAATCATCATATGTAGCTGATGGTCCCATTGCTTTCAATGAATTTAAATATGAACTATTATAGTAATTGCATTTTAGTTGTAAGTTTCAATCTTGTTCCTTTTTTGTGCATCGCTAAATTTCATGTGCTGATCAATTACGTGGGGTTAATTTGGCTTTCTTGCACTTTTTTTTCCTGCCAACGGGCTAGGGTTATTGATCGACGATTTGACAGTTACCTCTGCTAATTTATATACCTGTGCCATTGGTATCATACCAATCATATCTGCATTGGGCTAAAAAATTTTGGACACGAGATTTTAACACTATAGTAGTGGCAAGCAAAAAAGGGGCAGGAGCTGTAAATTTTAAATAAAAAGCTAAAACTAGAGATATCCCCCGCCCCCAAGCATACACAATGGCAGAAGTCACGGAAAAATCCCTATACATGGAGGTATGGCACATTTAACATTTCCCCCCTGCTCTGAGACCTCGAAGGGGAGGGGAGTGAATTGTTTTTGATAGCTGTCAGTATGATGGAAGGCTTGGCTTTTGTAAGATGATAATATCTGTGTAAGTGATTGCACAGGTAGAGCTGAAGCCGCCGGTTTCTTTTCAGTTGTGTGTGCCTTTAAGGCTGCACCCCTATGCAGTAACCCCCGACTAAATCGTATTGAAATAACTCTCTGCTCCCTCCTGCCTCTGCAACCCCCTGAGAGGGCTTGTTTTGCCTCAACTTTGCTGCCCTTTAGAAAAGCTTTAAAAACTTGGGTTTTCAGACAGGCCTGAATGTTTTGTGATTCCAATTGATTGATTCATTGATGATGGCTGACTGGCTAGCCGGCTGATATTATTTGTTTATTTATACAGTGTGCTATTTGGTTGTGCGTTATTAGGATGGCACTGTATGGTGCCTTTTGATTTGGCAGTACTTTAAATCTACTACATCATTATTATAGTAAGACCCTATGGACCAAAGAAAAGCCTTGGAACTCCAGCACTAAATTCTCCTAGTCAGCAGTTATGTAGGGGCTTCTTTCTTCTTACATCTGTAGGTGGAAGCATAATACAGTTGTCGTGATCAGTCCTCTAATCCCACCATTCTCGAATCTGTTGTTCAGCCGATTGGCTGTTACCATCTCCTCCTCCTCCTCCTCCTCAGGTGAACCCGGTGGACTATCTGACGGAGCAACAGGGGTGAACCACTAACGCTTGCTTTGAAGTCGCTTGCTGTCTTGGGGCCTTTGGGCTCCTGGCCTTCAGAGAGGCTCCGTGGTAGAAAGTAGAAATTGGAGGAGGCCACATGTTGCAGCATCCAGGTCTGGAGTTTTAGCTCACAAAATCACCTGAGGCTTCAAAAGTCAGTCTTGTGGTTCTGCCTTTGGAGAAGACAAGTCTGATGTTCTGCTGTGGGAAATACGGTGGAGCAAAAGGGAAGGCTTAGAACTGCTGTTGTCTTCTTCTGAACATGAAAAGCTGCTGGCTGTGAAGCTTGCTGCCAGGAGGTTTATCTTCCAGATTGCAAATGCGGTTTTCATCCAGAACCTCAAGATGGAATTTCAGATAGCTGAAGTGAAATGATTTCTGTCTTTCTACTCCAACTAATGCAGGTCCAGTCTCACTGCATTAAACAATTGCAAGGGAAAAAAAAATCCTTGCCAGTATATTCAAATCATTCTGTAGTTCTAGGATTATTTTCTGGTCCCTCAGACCAACTTCACCAAATTTTCTGGCTTTCCTTCTTCCAATGTCAGTCATGGGAATAAGAAAGATGCGATTTCTTTTCCAATAAGAAGAATGAGGTTTCTGACTTTGGATTTGGAATGGAGTTGCTTCCCAGTGACAAATTTTACATTGGAAGATACAGATCAAAACTATTTCAGTGCATTTGTGTACAGTAAATATTTTCATTAAACCTTTGCTAATTGACAGCTGAAGGTTGGTTATGAAGCCAATTTTACTTTCTATTTGGGCAGCAAAGCATATAGTAGGTGAAAATTTGGTGTTTTCTGTCACAGATAAATGTTTTGCATAATTAAAAAAATCAATTGTATTTGGATTATACTATACTGCTTTATATCCAGCAGATTCATACTGATTTATTGCTTGCCAAAATTAATCGAATTCGTCAATTGCAGCTTATCTAATCAAAATATGTAAATTACAATGCAATTGATAACCATTTGTCTTTGTGGGTAGTTTTCTGTTCTCAGGAAAATATTACAGAGATCTGTTCTGGCTAACAGGTTAGACCTCCCCCCCCCCCTTTTTTTTTTTTTTTTTGGTCACTGAATTGCCCAGAGGGATATTTGAAAAACATAGGGAAATAGTTTGTAATTGGTGTGATTCTCAGTTTTGAAACCTGGCTTTGCTCTTTATCCTGCTACTTCCAGTCGTTGATTTTGCTGCTCCACCTTTTCAGGGAGGATGGTGAGTTGGAAGAAGGAGAATTGGAAGACGACGGGGGTGAGGAGCCCAACGGTGCTTCAGAGGCACATGAGAAGAGCAGGAGGGAAAAAAATGAGAAGCACCACAGCGACTCAGATGAAGAAAAGACGCATCGGAGGAAAAGGAAGCGTCGGAAAGAGAGAGAGAAGGAGAAGCGGAGATCAAAAAAAAAAAGAAAATCTAAACACAAAGTGAGTAATGCGAGATGAGTCTTGAGGGGCTAGCTTGCCTTCCCTTCTCCCTTGGAAGCAGGAGATGTCTGTGCGGGGGAACAGAGCTCAGGCTGCGTTTCTGCGCCCCACACAAAACCAAACTGCTTGATTGGCTAGGGGATGGCACCCTTTCCAGGCCCTTGCCCCTGCACGTGGCCTGACAGTCCCCCAGTAGACAAATCGTGTATCAGAGGATACTGAACTTGCACCAGGGAGGATCATGGCAGACTCGGCCATCTTCCAGGCTTTGGCCAGAATTGGCGGATAAGGATTGAAAGGGCTGCGGGGGGTGGGGGGCGGGGGAGGGTGAGAGCCTGGTTGGGAGTCAATGACTTCTCTTTTCCCACAGCGCCACGCTTCTTCCAGCGAAGATTTCTCCGACTTCAGTGAGGATTCTGACTTCAGCCCAAACGAAAAGGGGCACCGGAAATACCGGGAGTACAGCCCCCTCTACTCCTCTGTGAGTGCTGAGGGTCAGCCATAAGGGTGCCCTGAGGGTGGGATCCCCGGGGTACATAAGCCTGTCAGATGTCCTGGTAGTTTAGCAGTTGAAATGGTGCTGTTTGGTTCTGCGTGCTGGCTTTAAAATGGCAGCAAATCAACGATGTTTGCTTCTGCTGATTGTCTAAAAGTGATGCTTTATAGAATAATGGTTTATAAAATTGGTCGAGACCCACTTCTTCTTTTGGGGGTCCAGTTCAGCTTGTGTCCTCTCTTTTGTGCAACCATAACCATTTGTGTGTTTGCCTCCAGTCCCATCAGCAGTACTCATCCTCTCACAGTGGGCCAAAGAAGGGCTATCCTAAAATGGAAAACAAGAGCTACCCTCCCTACGAAGAATACGAGAACGAGGGCTACTGTGACTACGAGGGGGAGGAGGAGGAGGACATGGGGAAAGAAGAGTACGATGACTTTGCAAAGGAGCTGAATCAGTACCGGAGGGCAAAGGAGGGGACGCACAGGGGGCGAGGTACACTTGCTTTTCCTTCAGCCCAGACCCTCTGCACGCGAGGCAGAGGCTAGCCACTAGGCAGCCAGACAAAACAAAAGAAAAAAAATCAGGCCCCTCCTGAAAGTGGGACCATCTGCCCGTAGCCATCCATGGGGAGTGTGTGCTGCCTTTTTAAATGACCCAACAGATACCACGTTTTACTCCGGAGTGCTGAACAGAATGGAGACAGCTCTGGTCCTGCTTCCTTTCTTCAGCAGGGAAGAACTCTGCACCTCTGCTTGTTGAGACCGTCTGTCCCTGTTTGCATGTGACCTATCCAAGTCCCAATTGACTCTAGTTCCAAAAGGGCACTCGGCTCCCGCTAATGCAATATTTTCCAAGTTAATGCTTTTTCTTTCTGAGTTTCTTTGATTTGGGAGCTGAATTTTAGAAATGTAGCATGCAGGTGTAATCTCCATTGGTTTGCAGAGGCTGGTATACAACATTGCATGAAAACGTTGTTGTCTCAAAACTGGGAATAGATATCAGATGCCGTTGTGGTTCTCTCCCTAAACAGTGATCCCAGTTAAGAGTATTGCCTTGAGTTGCTACTTTTTCTCACAGCACTAAGTAAAATTCTTTGAACACACCATATTGGCTCAGTTCCCACAACACACTAAACCAGGCAGATCAAACAAAACCAGTATAGTTTAGTGTACGTGCAAATGCTGGAGTCTGATCAGTTTGGCACCTTCTCTGGTTTGTGTCAACAGGTGGCCGTGGCCGTGGCCGAGGTTACCGTGGACGTGGAAGAGGTGGAATGAGAGGACGAGGTATGGGCAGGAGCAGTCGAGGCAGGGGAAGGGGAGAGCACCCTGAGGAGGAGGAGGAAGAAGTGTACGACGAGGAGATGGAGGTGAACATTGTGATCTGCCCTTGCTCAGCCTGGCTTCCTGCCACGGTGCCCTTTGGCTGATTTTCCCTCTGTCTGCCTGGCAGTTCTGCGAAGGGGAAGAGCCCATGGGGGAGGAAGACTATGATGATTATTCCAAAGAACTGGACCAGTACCGCAGAAGCAAAGAAGGAAGGGGGAGAGGTACGTGGGCGGAGGGAGAAAAAGCCGAGCCCCCCCTGTCCAAGGCCTCTGCCAAGCAGATGGCCAGATGTGGTTTTCCGTGGCTGGGCTGCAGAATCAATTTGAGTGGTCTTGTTACAGGCATGGGACGTGGACGAGGCCGTGGTTCCAGGGGGCGAGGAGGCAAGGGGATGAGCCGTGGACGAGGTCATCGTGGCCGATCAGGCCTAGGCAAAGCAGCAGCGCTTAATGAGGAGGAGGACTACTATGAGGATGACCTGGGGGTAAGTGGCGTAGGAGGCCCCTCCCTGGCTTTGGGTTTAACTGGGGCTTGAAGTTGGACGGAGGCCAAGAAGTGGCAGCGTGGGAGTGAACTCCCTGGGAAGCCCAGGTGAGGCCAGGCACCTTCCACTGCTAGGACTGGGGCCTCAGCAGCGGATGCAACTGGGCTGCTCAGGACAGGTGAATCAGAAACTCCCAATAACGAAGAAAAGAGCGTGAGGCTCAGCATCCTCCGTTCTCATTGGCTCTGGACTGAGCGTAAGGCCGCGGTCTCAACTCCACGTGGTCTTAGTCCTGAACCTGCCTCCTCAGTAGTCGGGGCTGGAGGTCAAGAGAAGTCTGGGCTTGCATGGATCTGACTGACGTACAGCTGCAGAAGAGTGGGTGGGTGAGCCAAGGGGGAGCTTTGGCAGGCGCTTCCTAGGAAACCAACAAAATGCCTTTTTTTCCCCACCTAGAAATTATTTAGGCTACCAAATTAATTTTATCTGACTTTTATTCTTGCTACTCTTCCTTCTTACACATTGTTTTTAGTTTTTTTCACAAGGGTCTGCCTAACATTGACATATAAATTAGTCCAGTGAATATTTTTCTTGCAATCTGTACAGGACGGAGGTGGCAGCTGTGGAAATTACAGGCGGACTGATCACGAGAAACCCCACCAGTCAGATAAGAAAGGGAAAGTCGTCTGCAAGTATTTTGTGGAGGGAAGGTGCACTTGGGTAGGTGCAGCCCGTTTATGGCACTTTGACCCCTGCAGGATCAGTGGTGGAGGTGCCCAATCCGTAGTCCCCATTGAACCCAAGCTTTCTGTTGCTAAATGAGGCATTTGTTAAGTGAGTCTCACCCCATTTTATGACCTTTCTTGCCACAGTTCTTAAGTAAATCCCTTCAGTTATTAAGAGCCACATGGTAGTTAACTGGCTCTGGCTTTGCAACAGTGGATCATGTGATCCCAGGACATTGCAGCCATCACAAATACCTGCTGCTGGTCGCCAAGCGTCCGAATTCTGATCACGTGACCACAGGGGGCGCTGCAACGATCGTAAGTGGAGAAAATGGTCATAAGTCACTTTTTTCAGTGCCTTGGTAACTTCGAATGGTCACTGAATAAATGGTTGTAAGTCGGGGATTACCTGCAGGTGCCCTCGAGCAGGAGTCTAGGGGCTGGTGCAGGACCTTTTGTGCCTGGGTTGCCCAGGAGCAGAGAAGGCGCCCGCTTCGTTCCCTGTGGCATAAGGTGGGGGACGTGGGCGAGGAGGAGTGCCAGAACAGCCTTTCTTCATGTGCATCAGTGCCCCCCCCCAAAAAAAAAGTGTTCTTGTGGCCCCAGTGTTCGAAAAGGGCCTGCTTAGCCATTTTCACTTAGTTCTCTATGCAGCAAATCCTCTCGGCAATGTTTAGTCCCATGGTAGATTTAAAGTTTTAGAGCCTGCCTTTCAGATCAGAATCATTTACGTACACTTAATAAACAGTGAAGGGAGCAGCCATGTCGTTCATTGAAGCTGATTTTCCACAATCGGCATCCTCCTTTGCCTGCTCCAGGCCATGGTAGTTCCTCTCTGCTCCACTGTCACAGATGCCTTAGTCTCTGCAAGACCCCTGCCCTGGGCTCCTTCCTTCGTGAGACTCCACTGCACAGATGAGGGGACTCCCCCCTGGCTTCATGGGGATACTTTAATTCAGCAACCACAATGATAATAATAATAATGACGACGACAACAACAGGTTCAGATGTCTTCTGGTCCAACGCCCGGCTTTCCTGCCGGAGCCCTTGGTCAATCTGGCTTCTCTTGAAGTGCCCCTGACGTCCCTTGGCTTCCTTGCTATCCTATCTCTGCGTGTTCTCCCATGGAGTGGTACTTTCCTCAAAGCTGCATTTGCATTTGTTTATCCCCAGTTAGGAAGGGATGGGATTAACCGTGGGCCAGGCTCACCCGGCAGACTGAGGGAGGAGGCAGGAGGGGGTAGGACTGGCCTTGAAATGATTGTCGTGGCTGTGCACAGCAGCCCTTCTCCCAGCAGCCAGGGTGAGATGCTTTGCATCCTGTCAGCTGATGTCCTGTTGTGTTTGTGGCTAAGCCTTTTGTATTTTTCCTGCCAGGGGGAACACTGCAACTTTAGCCATGATATTGAGCTACCAAAGAAGAGGGAACTGTGCAAATTTTACATCACTGGCTACTGTGCCAGGGCGGAGAATTGTCCCTACATGCATGATATCCTTTCCGGTCACTTTCGTCCAGCGTGTTTAGGACAGGGTTTGGGGAGGTTTTTGGTAGCCTGGTCTGCCTCTCCCTACTGGGAGGACTCGCTGACTGCAGGCCGCAGGCCAGCTTTTTTCTCCCAAGGGGATCTTTCGGGGGGTCTTTGTGGAAGCAAGAATTGTGAAATCGTGGGTCTCCTGACCCTGGTGGGTCCCTGTGGCTTTTTTGTTTTGTTTTTTGTTTTGTTCTTTGCTTTCCTCAACACCTGGCACGGGATTTCCCTTGCAAACTGTTTCACACCACTGGGAACTGCATTAACGGAGAGGACTGCATGTTCTCACACGAACCGCTCACTGATGAAACTCGGGAACTCCTGGATAAGGTAAAGGGACAAATGGGCACCCAGATACTCCTCCTGCTCTGCAGACAGGCCTCAGACGGGCCCTGCCGTTTTCGTAGTCAGGAGCGGGCTCCAGCTCGGCACGGTGGGAGGTGCGGCTGGAGAAACTGACCGCCAGCCTTGGCCTTGCCTCTTAGATGTTGGCAGATGACGCAGAAGCCGGCGCAGAGGATGAGAAAGAAGTGGAGGAGTTGAAGAAACAGGGCATCAACCCACTGCCCAAGCCACCTCCTGGGGTGGGATTGCTGCCCACTCCCCTGCGTCCCCCAGGGCCCCCAGCTCCAACCTCCCCTAATGGCCGGCCCATGCCCGGAGGGCCCCCTGCCCCTCCCCCTCCCCCTCCCCTCCCTCCCCCAGGGCCACCACAGATGCCTCTCCCGATCCACGAGCCCCTCTCGCCTCAGCAGCTGCAGCAGGACTTGTACAAGAAGATCCCTTCCCTCTTTGAGATTGTCGTGAGGCCGACAGGGCAGCTGGCAGAGAAGCTGGGGGTGAGGTAAGCGTTGCCTCCCGTCCCGGGAGAGGGGATGCAGAAGGGGAGGGGGCTTCTGCCACAGTTCTGCCCTGGTGGGCGGCAAGTCCCAGATGCCTGGATTTCCTGGGCAGCCTGGCTGTCGTCTCCCTTATCAGCCGGAAGGAGGTGCTTCGTTGAGATAAGGGGCCCGCCTGACCTCAGTCCTCTTTCCCCCTCTAGGCATCCTGGCCCATCCCCACCTCGGTTCCCTGGGCCTGGGCACCCAGAGTTGCCTCCTGACCTGCCCCCCGACCTGCTTCCCGACCTGTGTGCAGACATCTGTCCTGATATGCCGATGGGCCCAGGGATGAACCCTGGCCCTCCATTGGGCCCCGGACCCCCCATGATGCCCTTTGGCCCCGAAGAGATGCCCCCCAGGCCCCCAACCCAGGACTTCTATGACAACTTCTACCTGCACCCAGAAGGCCTGGAGATGGGCCCAGGCAAGTCTCTGGGTGGGCTGGGTGGCTTTGTTTGCCCGGCATTGGAACAGGAGGCTGGCTGAGGGGTTGCCTTCTGCTCCAGGGGTCTCACTGCTCCCACCCCACCCCCTCCCCCCCATTTTCCTCGTAGAGGGCTACGCAGGCTATGAGGAGATCCCTGGGGAAGGGCTTTTCCCCGACCCTTCTCTGGAGCCAGATTCTTTCTGCGATGGAGGCCTCCCACGGCTGCAGAAACCCTCCAGCAGCATCCCAGATTTCCTGCCTTCCACCCAGAGGGCTCTCTACCTTCGCATCCAGCAGAAGCAGCAGGAAGAAGAGAGGGCTCGCCGTCAGGCAGAGAGCTGCAAGCAGGACCGAGACCACGAGGAAGGCAAGGGCAGCCGAGGCGGTGGGCAGCTGGGAGGGGCTCTGAGAGGGGAAAGCTAAGCCTGCTCCACGCTGGGCTTCTTCGATGCGCTGGTGGGGCCTGGAAGCCCTGGGGGGCAGTGGGGGGGCAGTTTGGCAGCAGAACCCAGGAGCAGCCACCATTCTGGCAGGGTCAAGGCTGCGCATATCACACTGCCCGAGTGTGATGGCCTATTCAACCGCCACAGGGACTGGGGAAAAGCGCCCTTGATTCTTCCTACTGAAGCTGTAGGGACGGACAGGCTCTTGTGGAGGAGGGCTCCCCAACCCCGTCCTTGTGAAACGGCCCCTGTAGACAACGGGAGAGCCAGTGTGGTCTGCTGGCTAAGGTGCTGGACGAGGATCCGAGAAACTGCAGGTCCATCTCCAGCCTTGGAAAAATGGGGTGACTTTGGGCCAGTCATGGTCACGAGAAGTAAAGGAAGCATTTTCCACTAAATCAATTGAGCTACTGGATGAAAAGTGGGGCAGGGGTCTCCCTTAGGATAGGGAAAGGCCCATCCGTGGAGTGCCCTCCCCCTTCCTGCTGGGACAGGAACCGATTCCTGCTTGTCAGGGGAGATGAAGGCAACTGTTGGCTAAGAAGGAGCAATTGTCGGGCGTTCTTTTCCGCAACTTGGCCAGTCTGCGGAAATATTTTTGAAGTTCCTCTTTCAAATGTGTCTTTGAAATTATTCTTGGTTGCTTCTTGAAGAGGCTTCTGAGATGGCAAGTATAGGCTCACCGCCCTCTCCATCTCTCTACCAGGCGATCCTGGCAACTGGTATTCCAGTGATGAGGATGATGGAGGCAGCAGCAGCGTCAGCTCCATCCTGAAGACTCTACGGCAGCAGAGTTCCAGCAGACCCCACGAAGACCTCTCTGGAAGCCCCGTTCCTGCCTCAGGCAGGAGCGATCCTCGCCTTCAGAAGAGCCGGCCAGCCGATCCTCGCCTTCTGCGTGACCCCAGGCTTTCTCGAAACCTGGAGCCTTCTGGAGCCGCAGAGGCAGGGCCCACCGATCCACGATTGGCACGGCACGGCGCATCCTCTGCCCCCAAAGCAGCAGAAGTTCTCCATTCGAGCCCTTCGGTCAGCCAGAAGGCTGTTCCTGTCCCAGAGGAGGAGGAAGGGGAAAGGGCCCTGCGGGACAAACCGGTCACCATCCCTCTGGACACCCTGCCGAACCACTCTCTGAAGGACCCTCGCTGCCAGTTGCAGCAATTCAGCCACATCAAGAAAGACGTCGTCCTGCTCATGCCCAGCTTTGCACGCATGGTGCTGTGGAGCCCTGAAGACTTGATCCCCCTGCCTGTTCCTAAGCAGGAATCCGTTCCTGTCCCAACTGCTCTCCAGGCCCTGCCTGCCCTTGATCCACGCCTGAACCGATCTCAGAATGCCAGCGTAGCTGACCCCAGGCAACGGGCTGGCTCCCAGCCAGAACCCTCGGCCAGTCCTGGCTCCAGCCTTCCAGATTTTGAGCTGCTGTCCAGGATATTAAAGACGGTCAACGCAGCAGGCAGCCCTGGGCAGAGTGATAAGCCAAGCGATCCCCGTACACGGAAGGCACCTGTGGACCCCCGGTTGCCCAAGTCTTCCGAGCCAGGATCCTCGGGGACCGCCAAGCAAGCTGAAGTCAGCTCCCTGCTAGGTGTGGGTGCAGAGGCTGCCGCCAGTATAGCCCCTTATGATCCCCGGCTCCTGACGGCCGGGGGGTTGAGCAGGGGCCCTGGCCAAAGCAGCGTCCTGAGTGGGATCAGCCTTTACGACCCAAGGACTCCCAGCCCTGGCTGCAAGCCTGCCGATTCTGCTGGCGAAGGGAGCCCAGCCACCAAAAGTGCCGAAGGCAGCAAAGGTGGCAACCGAGGGAAGGAGCCGCTGTTTGTGCGTCGATCAGCCTTGGACCAGCTAGAAGCTGAGAAGCCCAGCCCAGAGCCGGTGACTGACCGCTACAACAGCTACAACCGGCCACGGCCCAAGGCCCAAGGCCACTCTGCTCCTGCTTCCTCTGCTCCTGCTGTGGAGACGGCTGTTACTCAGCCTGGCGTCCACAACCTCCCTGTGCCGCCTGTCTATGGCATGGTGAAGCAGGCGGCCAAGTCGGGGGCAGGCAGCCCTTTTGCAGGCAACAGCCCTGCCCAGGAAGGAGAGCTGCAGGACGCGGGCTCTCTGAAGGATGTTTTTAAAGGGTTTGACCCGACAGCCTCCCCATTCTGTCAGTAGTATTAAGAGACTTGTACGTGCAGCCTTGTGTCCAAAAGAAGCAGCAGTGTTTGTTCTTCACTTTTTAAAAATTCCATGAATTGCCATTGACCGTGTACCTCCATCCTTTGAGCTTTGCTGAGTGTAGCCTCCAAGCGACCTTGTAGGAGAGGAACAAGGGTCTTGAGCCACCCCAGGCAGTATTGTGTCACGTCCCCCTCAGGGTTCCATTGCGGACTATTCTGAGGTCCACTTGGAATCCTTCAGTGTCTTCAAATCTGGGCTGGCTGGTTCTGCCAGCCCTTCCCTCCTCCTTTGCACAGTGGCTGGGCCATGTCTCCATCCCCCCTGCTTCTCCTCTTCAGGTATTTATTGTCTGTTGAATGGAGGATGAAAGGATGACAGTTTCCTAGCGTGCCCTGTTAAGGGGTGAAACTGTCAGCCGTGCTGATCTGTAGAATATATATATCTTTGTTTCTAAACTGTAACAATATATGTGTATCATAGCCTTTTTTAAAAAAGAATCTAGCGCAGCAAAATTATTATGGAGAAGTAACCATGATGAATTATTTTTGTAACTCTATTGAATTTTGTTTTAAATACCCTTCTGCCGTTTTCTTGGATTGCCGGATTCAGATGTGATACAGCCAGGCTACAACAGGCTGCTTCTGCCTCTGGTGGGTGGCCTCTTGAAGAAGTGATGCCTTCTACCAAAACAGAGTTTGTAGTATTGAAATTAAATTATTAATAACACTAATTTGCTTGTATGTGTCCTGTGCTCCTCTAAAAAGCAAACAGAAGCCCTGGTGTTCAGAAACGAGATGTTTGTCATTCCTGCAAAGAAGCATTTGTTCCCACAATCTTCTACGCAGGGGCAGCCATAGCCTTCTGGCATCCCAGAAAGCCCCGGGTGCAGTTCCCTTAAATACCAGGACAGGCAGTTGGGGGAGAGATTGCTGTGGACAAAGGGCCTGTTTTGTAACAACCAAGAGTAGCCCCGCAAATTTAATCTTTCCAGAATTGCTGAACAGAGCTAGAAGCCCGGCCTATTTCTGTCCTTCCAGTGCTTCTAACCGATGGATTTGGTCTCTTCTCAAATGCAGAGAACTAAGTTGCACTAGTTTGTCTTTAGAAGGCTGCTTCGTTTCTCCCACAATAGCCTCTTTCAAAGCTAGACCTTGTTTTGGGGTTAAAAGCAGTGACTTTTTGTCCTGATCCAGCCTGGCAAGAAGGGTGAGCGTCTGTGTGCGCTGGCTGGTGTGCTCTTGAGGTGGGCAATTTGGAGACTCCAACCTTACAGCTCTTCTGAGCAAGGGGGCTGAGCTGCATAAGCATAGCTTATTGGGGCTGAGAGGCCAGCCCCTTTTCTGCCTGGGAGGTGGCTGGGTCAGTAAAAAAAGGCCCACCTTCCCCACAGAGCAGATGAGCAACCCCGACTGCGGCCTAGCGGCTTCGGTGTAGTGGGATTGCAGCTTCTCCATGAAGTGTATGTGCAAGAGCTGCTAGCTGGTGTCTCTGTAAGAAACCAAGGGATAGAAGTCCTTTGGCCAGGGTCTTTGCAGCTTGACAGACTGCAGGGCGGGAGTGACTGGAGCAGGGTTCATGCCCAGGTTTAGCAGTGTTTAATCTGAAATGGGTGGGGGAGTCTCTGCCTTGGTGACTCCTACTTTTCCAAGCACCTCCCTTCTTTTGCCCAGGGAGTGTAGCACAGTGTAGAACTCACTTGGGAAGGAGAGAAAGTTATGTCCTTTTGGTACAAATGCAAACTAGTTTCCTTGGAAAGCCAAGCCGGATTCCTACTTTGCCATTTTCCAGCCACTTAGCTGTGCAGGCTCTTTATGCCGACCCACTAAAGTCCAGAGACGGAGAAGGGCTGGAGCAGATTTCCAAGGAACCTTTTTAAACTTGTCCGGAGTGAGCAGGACCTTGTGGAGAAGCTGTCCTGGTCCTGGGATCGATGAACAGCTTGTCAAGGAATATGCTCTTTGTGAAGTATTCTGTCTTGTGAACCTGCCTAGGTACATAGATGCTCTGTGAGATTTGTACAATCTGACTTTTGTAAATCAAGATCCATTCACTAGACTCAAATCTTTGTTATCAATGAAATTTGCCAGCGCTTTATAAAAATGCTATAAAATGTAAATATTATTTGAAAAGGGATTTGTATATATTGTACTGGTATTTTTACAGTGATTTTTGGTTGCATGGCTGTTCGCTTTTTTTTAAATCACACATGCGTCTTCCAACAATGTCCAGACTTGAGACTCCAATCGTTGTACTGCTGGCATTAAATGATGCAGTGATTTTAAAGATTGCCATCCATCTTACTTTGGTATGGAATTATTTCAAATATTCCTGTTGTGAGGCAGAAGGGCGCAGTCAGCCAGGCTACTGTTTATAGCTTGGCAGCTACAGTAAAATGTTTCTCAGGGATGAGGAGTGGTGGGGAAAGGGTCAGAGAAAGCTGACCTTGGAAGACCCAGCAGCCTAAACTCTGGGGGGGGCGGCTGAGAAGATGAAGGTGGCCTGCTTGAGTCCGAACAGTTGAGGCCAGGAGACCCCTTTCCCCAAAGACAATAGTTGCTGTGGTAAAGTTTGACCAGAGTCCGGGCTGCCGGAGATGCCAGGGGCATGAGCATAGGACTGATATTTCCAATCATTTTACTCTTATGGTCTCCCTCCACGCCCCACGCCCCTTTTTAGGTTTTCTGAGCTCAGAAAGGCAGCACAGGTATGACCACCAAAGAGGTCTAGGACTGGTCAAACCTTGGCTTCGGGCAGGTCATGCGTTGCCTGGAGAACGAGCCTGACCCTAATCCTAAGAACCAGGTATCCGCAGCTGCAGGAGGCCCGTTGGGCATCCCAGGAGGGGCTAACCTTGGAAAGAAGCAAGCCATGAGAATCTCCCTCGGGTGACCCATCTCCCAGCCTTCCTTGGTGTACTGCTGCTCTTGGGTGCAGCCCCCAGTCATGGGACGCCCTTTTCCTCCTTGCACCTGGGGGCAGAGTCCTGATCTCCTAACCCATTGCTTCCCCAATGGCAGCTGCAGAGGTGGGGACCCCTGTTGCCCTCCTGGTGGTGTGAGTTTGTTGTATCCCAGCCTTTTAAAAACAATTTAGAAACATTTACATGGACTAAATACACTTCTGGGTGGGTGGCCTTTCTTGTGATGGAATTGCTCCCAGAGGAATCCAGTGAGACTCACGCTGCCTTATCGCCGGTCAAAGATGAGGGTATTCGTGCCGGGCTTGGAAAGGGCCACTTATGGCCAGAGGCAGCCTGGGCTTGACTGACTACTCCAAGGCTAGGCTGTACTCCAAAGAGTGCCCCACCCCGCCAGCTACTGCTGTGGGTTGGAAGTTCTTGCAACGGTGGGGGGGGGGGGGGTCACTCACCTGGTGTCCTCCCCCTCTCCCAGGGAAGATCCTGGGTGAATGAATCATTGCAACACAATGGTGAGAAACCCAAAATAGGATTTCAGGCCACAGTGAGCTCTTCTCTCTTCCCTCCCACCCTCATGCCTCTGATGGGTCATTTTCACAAAATAAATCATTCAAAAAATAAAATGTAAAAAATCAGTTTTTATCAAAACGAATAATTCAGTGGGAAACAGTGGGACCATGTGCAATTCTTCGAGAAGGTCCCAGGACGGCCTTCACTGCCACAATTGACGCTTCTGTGACCTTCAAGCCCAGGATCCTGTTTCTACAAAGAAAGAATCCTGGACTTGGATGGAACAGGAAGCAGAACTCAAACCCTGATGCAAATGCCCTGAGCAGGAGGTCGGGCTAGAAGACCTCCAAGGTCCTTTCCAGCCCTTGACTATGTTCTAGACCTGCTGCCCTGTTGTACGGGAGGTCTATCTTCAGCGCGAACGTAGCTGTCCCATTGAACTGGGGAGCTAAAAAGAGCACTGAATTATATGACCCTCACTTCCTTTATTAGCATTGCTGAAATGAATTTAAAAAAAGCAGGGTGGGAGTTGCCTGCGTGCCTGAGATCCCTTCAGGGGGGCAGGGTGGGGTGGGGTGGGGGAATGAAAATAGGATGTATGGTTGACTCCAGTCTGCCCTCTAGTGTCTGCTAGGATTTTCAGACAAACACATGGAGACTTTACCCAACTGATGAAGAAAACTAGCTCACCAAAGCTGACCACTTAATTACACGTGCCAGTCTGAAAAGTTTCTGCCAGACTTCTCTTGGTTTTGGGCAGCAGGAGGTAATTTGGGAAGGGGGCTCTTTCAGACACAGCTTGCACTGTAATTGGGGCACAACTTTGGTTTGAGGAGGAAGAGCTAGATCCTTTGGCTAGGCTAAGGGCCTGCGGCAGAAAGCACACGAGCTCTTTAAGAGCACCATTTCAGCGTGGGGAAGGAGAAGAGAGAAAGGGTAACAGGTGGGATTGAATCAGAATGAGATTGCGTTGAGTGGCCAGGGATGAATTTGAGTCTACCCTGGTTAATTACTACCACGAGGGAGGGTGGAGGCCGAAGATGGGCCCCTTTGGGGTAGGGAAACCAGACCTCTCCAGGTTAGTCGTTCGATTGCTTTCCAAGGGTGAGTGGAGAAGGCCTCCCCTCTCTCAGCCCAGGATGGGAGCGCTCTGGTTCTCCCCAACAGCTCTTTTCTTTCTCATCAGACAGAAAAGGGAGGGGGCTGGAGAGCAACAGGCAGCAAGCAGGACCCCTGGGGGCATCACAGGTACCATTGGAAGGTCCTCCCAGGCACTCTGGGGCTTGGGCCTTGCAGCAGGTGGGATAGAAGAGGTGCTCAGGCACAGTGGGGTTGTGTGCCCATCTGCACACCTTCAGTTTGCTTGCCAAAGCCAGAGAGGTTGGAATGAGGAACGGCCAGGTCCTGGGTCAGCATCACTTTCTGGTGGCATTAACAGGCCCTTCTGCAGCAGAGATAGCCAGGTCAGTGGCTGCCTGATTAGCATTATCGCTGATCTAGATCAGTGGATCCTGCGAAACCATTTGCACCAAAGCTCAGCTTATGATGCAAAGCAAGGCAGGCCCCAAGAAAATCACCATCCCGGCCACCCTGGATCAGTTTCAAAGCACAGGAGAAGGGCCACAGCCCAAACGCCCAAGGCTGCAGCTGGTGATTTGGGGCTTCCTTCTATTTTGGCTCAAGACTGATCTGGGGAACAAACTAAATCTAGCCTTCCCCTGAATATGCTGAACATGCTCAAGCCACCTCTTCTAACCACAGCAACTCTGGGTGGCCAAAAGCACATAAGAGCACATAAGAGCAATAAAACATAACATTTGCAAAACTATGTTTGACCCAAATGCATTTATTCATTCACAGAAACTTAATCGCATTGTATTCTGACATGAAACAATAATTCACCTCACTATAAAACAAAGTGTAAAAGACAATGAAGTGAGTTAATTCAATGTTAACTTTGGGATTGCACATTATACAATTAACATTATATACAGATTGGGATTAAAGTGTTGTTTTGTGCCAAGAAGGAACTGTCAAATTTGGGTTTCTTTTTGGAGGAATATTTTAACATACATTATGCAGATGGCTGTTTTCAACTTACATTTGTCAATGTTATTTTGAACTACGTTACGAAACTGGGACCTGATCACAGGGGTCTTTCTGAGGGGTTTATTTGTTGTACAGAATAGCCAAGAGAATTATACTGAGAGATTGGAAAAGTGCTCAGTAGCAAAGATTGTATTCAGGAAGTGTGATATCCATTTTTGAAAAGGCTGTTTTCCTCAATTTTGTTAATACTATTTCATAATTAATTTTTGAATATTACTTTTGGGTTTTTCCCCCCATGTTTTGTATGAGATGGGGGCTTTCTTGGTGGGTGTGGGGTGGGTAGGGCTGTGAGCATCTCTAGGCCATGGGAAGCCAAAGGGGCCCCGATGAGCTGGCCACCCAGGGCTCCGATAAGTCCCTCCCCTCTCCAGCCTCTGCCTGTTTCCAAATAAGGGCACAAGCTCCAGCGCCTCCAGCGTCTACTGGACCAGCCATGGGAGGGAGGGAGGGAGGGCCTGGCTCAGCTTCCCTTTGCAAGCATCTTCCCTCCCTCTCTCCCTCCCTTGGGAAAAGATCGCCCCCCCCTCCCCCTGCCCTGGCTTGGATTGAGGCAGGCAGTAGCTGGTACAGATTGACTTGAAGAGACAGTAATGGCAAGGGGGGGGGGGGGCACATGGGGAACCATATGTGCACAAACATCTGTGGGGCCTGGGAGAAGTCCTTCTATAGCCAGATAATGCTAGGGGATCCAGAAGCTCCAGGGTGGACTGGATTGCGAGGGCTGCCACAGGCCCAGTTGCAGGCAGGTGGGCTAAACATGTGCCCCCCGCACTTGTTGGTGGACCACGCAGACATCCTTCACCCCCACTCCACTGGCAAGGAAGAAGCACAAAGTGCTGCTTGTCTCCTGAAGCAGCTTCTAACCTGGAAAAAAACCTCTGGGTCCCAGCTGGGGGGTGGGGGGGAGAAGGACTCATTGCCTCTGTCTGACTGAGGGAGTTGTCTGAAATGGGGAAAGGCTGGCGGGTCGGAATGGGACAACTTGCTGCAGGACAGTTTAACTATTCTATTTAATTATTTAAAATAAATAAAAAATGTTTTAATTTTTTGCAGTTCATGTTTCATTCTGTCCCTCCTTTTACATCCTTTCTTTAATGATTCTATCCCACCATTTCTTTGATATCAGTGTAACTCGTCCTGGAGTGAGTTGTCCCACAGTGAATTGGCCGTGGCAAGTTGGCCATGGCAAATTGTCATGGACCCAGCTAGCATCACAGCTGTGAGTCTCTAGTAAAGCCTGCTGCCTTCACCTTAACTCACTGGCTGTGTGTGTGTGTGTGTGTGTGCTGAGGGGTAGATTGGACAAGGAAGCCACTTCTGAGTTTTCATGGCCCTGGATAATCAGGCAGACTGTGCCAAACATTCCAAGCCGGAGAAAACCTACCCAAGAACATGCAAACCCAGACACAGCTTCTGGGTGATGGCCACAAAAGCCCAGAAAGCTTCACAGGGGGCAAACCCTCTCCTGGCCAGGTTCTCTCTCACAAGGGCCCCGGTCATCCTAAGGCCCCATCTCCCCCACCCCTCTCTGGCAGAGGCAACCGTTGAGCTTCTGGGGGGCAGAGCACTTTATCATGGGGAGGTGGCCCAGCAGAGCCCATCCTCCTCCATCAGAGAGAAAGGTTCAAAAGGGCCCAGGAGACCTTCCCAGCAGGGTGAAGGTGGCTGAAGCCATGGAGCCAGCCCATCCTCATGGAGTCAGGGAGGCGGCAGCAAGTTCTTCCACAGTTCAGCCCTCTCTGCAGCTCTCCAGCGTCACGGTCACTGTGGGACTTTGGGACCCTGGTCCACGTTCCTCTGGCTGCTGGGACTTGTCCGGCGGAGAACATGTTCTGTCCGGAGGCCTCTCAGCTTCTCCAGCAGCTCTCTGGTGAAGTGCTGGGGGGCGGGGGGAGAGGTTGAGTCCCACCATTCTTCTCCAGTAAGGTGGAGAAGAGGTCTGGCCCTGGGGGAACCCTGCCAGGAAAGGGTTCTCCCTCCAACAGGGACTCCCAGGATCAGTAGCAACCCGATCCCAGGAATTGCAAGGGAGCCTCCTCAGGGAGTCGTGGGGTGGGAAGAAGGCCGGGGAGCCCAAAGGGTGAAAGGGTGCCTTTCCTCAACTATTCCACAGCAGCTGGAAGTGGGGCATCTCTTTGGGAAAGCAAACCCCACCCTTGGCGGACATGCACATTCCACAGGACCCAGTGCTCAGAAAGGGGACACCCACCTCCGTGTTGTTGTGGCATGACTCCAAGGTGCCCTAGAAAAAAATTACAGTGAGGAACAGCCCCAAAGGATGGGTGGCCCAGCATTTACTCGTCTGGCCCTTTTAATGTGCAGCCTCTTTTCCAGGATTACTCTTGAACTAAACCAGGAAAATCTCTTCCCATGGCTCAGATTCCCCGCCCCCAGATCTAATTTACAGCCTTCTCTTTCACAGTGAACACAGATCCCCGGTTCCCTTTTCTTATTCTGTTCAGATCCTAATTTCCATTTATTAACAAAATGGCACAGCCTAGGCTAATGCCACAAATAGTGCAGGGAGAGATCAATCTATGCATCATTCTTGGTTCTCAGAAATTAGTACCAGCATGTTGTTAATGAGCATTAAGGCTCATTTGATCATTTGGTTCTGAAGAAGAGCTTCACTTCTTAGAGTAGCAAGTTCTTCAGAATTTGTGTGCAATGGTGCTCTGTCTGCATAAGAGCCCCCTGGTTCACTCTGCTGCTTCCTCTGCTGTAATGCTGCCACGGCTTTGTCCCTGCCAGGTTTATAAACTCAATTATGTTCACCTCCCTTCCATTCCTGCTGACAGGACCCAGTCAAGGGTGCCTTGAGGATTCCTGCCTCTGAGTCAGCAGACCTGGTCATGTGAAGGCAGCTTACCTGTAATTTCTTGGCCCTCTCCTCATCTGTGTCCATCTCCAGGAGATCATCGATATTGACTTCATCTGGCATCTCATCTTCCTGACACAAAATCAAAAAGGGTCAAGCTAGGGGGATCTTGGAACAAGAGTTAGGAACTGGAGCTCTGAGGTCTCAAAGCTTTTTGACAGTAGCCCAGGATCTTCAGTGAAGCATTTCATAGTTCGAAAACATCTAGAACAGGGCTGTCAAGCTGCCGACCCACAGGCCAGATGCATCACGTGCTGGCCACACCCACACCTGGTTTAGCAAAGGGGGGGGTTCCTATATGTCACGTGATGCCACCGTGACAACGTGCGTTTGACACCCCTGATCTAGAACAACAAAGCTTTCAAAGTTTTCAAAACCCACCTGTATCCCACTTTTTAAGCAAGATGAAGAGCATCCCACCCCCACAACATTCCAGAGACGTGGTTGCTGCTTTTCCTGGGGACAAAAGTATCCCTATGCCATTGCTCCTATACTGCCTACCATGCAGTAAGCAATTGATCCAGTTGGAAGAGCCTGGTTCCATCTGTACCCCTTAACAGAATAACAGCGTTGGAAAGGACCTTGGAGGTCTTCTAGTCTAACCTCCAGCTCAAACAGGAGACCCTACACCATTCCAGACAAATAGCTGTCCAGTCTCTTCTTAAAAGCCTCCAGTGCAAATCTTTTATCTGAAACTGCCCTGTAAATATGCAGAGGGGGGAGGGGATGATCACACACTGCTGCCCCTCATGCCAAGAAGCCTCTGGATCAGAGCATCAACCGAGCACCATGTTCCAGCCCAGGGCTTGCTTCCCCCAGAAGAGCCAGCCTGCCGGCTGAGCTGCTCCCCTCTCGGTCGGACTCCCAGGGGAGGCAGAAAAGCAACCCAGATGGTAACTCGCTCCTTTCATGGGAGGATTGGAGACGTCTCTTTTATAGCTAGGACAGGCTCCCCACCCCCACAAATCCTTTCTAGGCAAGAAAATGTTAGCAACTGGAGGCGGAGATACACATTCCTCCCTGGGAAGAGAGGAGAAGGAGGAGGATGACCCCTCTCTGCAAGCCCATCTGCCACTTTTTCTGGGAGCCTGGCAAGGTCCCTTCCAAGCCAAGCAAGGGGCCCTGGGGCCTGAAAGAACCTCGGAGCAGGGCAAATAACGGCCCTCTGGTAGCTGGGCATGCAGCTCCCATCATTCCAGCCTGAATTCAATAGGAGCCAACCTCCTGCTCAGTTTTGCCTGCTCCATGACCCAGACAGGGTCTTCCCATGCATTGAGTGAGTGGGACATTTCTGAATTGAACCTTGAGATTCCAGGAAAAACCAGGGCTCAAATATCTGGTTCTTGGAAAGACGGCTGAATGGGGTGACCAAGGGCAACAGGCCCTGCAGCCCAGAGTCCCTCGTCTTTCTGAGTGCAGCTTCTCCTCTTGGCAGTCGCCACAAGTCTCTCTCCTGGTTCAGTACCACCAGCAGCCTTCAGGCTCTTGAGCCTTTAAAAGCAAAACCAGCAGCAAGCAGCAACCACCCTGGTGGACCAAGGCCACCACTTATCAAAAGGCTGCAACTAAAGGGCCTCCTGGCACCCTTAAAGACAGATGTGCCTCCCAACAAGGCAGATGGCTCCCCAGTCCCTGGGGGAGCACTAGCAGCTGGGAGGGAGGGAGGGAGGGAGGGGCAGGGGTCCCAAGCAGCCTTAATGTTAACCCCATCGTGGCCTCCAAGAACCAGTTCAGAATTGGAAGGCAGCTGGCCTGGCTCTCTCCCACCAGGCCAGGAAGCTGAGTGAGACCGCAGCTGCCTTTGGCCACAGGAGTTGCTGTGTCTCAGGCGGGCTGGTCTGGACGAGGGCAGCAGCGGTCCCCCCAAAGGACGAGACTTCGAGTCCTCTCGCCCAACCTGGCATCCCCCTCACCCGTCCTCGGTACAAGTCCTCCAGCTGGCCGTCGATCCACTTTTCTGTGTCAAGGCGCCGCTGCAGTTCCCGTCGGTCATACTTAACCGTGACCCGCGCTTGGCGCCTCTGGATGCCCGGGCTGGCTGTCCTTTCCGCGCGGCTGCCTCCGGGAGAGAGACCGGTAGAGCGGGCCGGCGACGCACGCCCCAAGCGCCTCCCCACCCGATCCGCCGCCATCCTTCGTTCCGCCAGCTAGACGGGGCGTCCGCCGGCTTCCAGCGCCTTATAACAGCCGGGGCGGAGCTGTGTTGCTCCCAGACCCTCCCTCGGGGTGGAGGGCAGTCTTGCTCTGGGGGCAGAGGCGGGGCCCAACCGGCCTCCCGGCCGTTCTTGTGGACCTCCCTGAAAGATGGAGGCTTGAAGGCCCGCTCTGGCAGGCAGGAGCCGATCGGCGGCCTCGCGGGCCTCTCTTTTCCAGAGCTGGATCCCTGAGGCCTCGGCTCTAATCGCCTTCCAGCAATGTGCGGTCGCCTGACCACTTCCCCCTCCTCGCTCTTTTAGCATTTTCTGAAGTCACGCAGGTTACTAAGATTTGGGCCCGGCATTCCGCCAACTGTTAGCGCCCCCTCCCCTTCCCGGCCCCCTTTTAATGGGTGGTCGGCACGGCCCTTCTCTCCTAGCGCCGGCCTGCGAAGGGCTTGCCTTCCAATGTCCTCACCCGTCTCTGTCCCACCTCTGTGAAAAGTCGGGGTTTGCCCCTTCGAGTTGCTGCCGCCTGCTCTGCTCGGGTCATTTGGTTCGGACTCCGGTTGAGAAAGCTGCCGCAGCGTTCTGGAGCGGCTTCGTCGCCCCGCTGCCTCGGCCCCCTTCCTTCTAGCCCCCCACCTGGGCCGTTCTGTCCTTATGCAAGCACGTTCGTCGAAACGACACCCCGCCCTTCCCAAGAGGGGGTCTCCTTCAGGAAGCCTCCCTGCGACGGCCTCTCTGAACCCCCGCGCTTCCAACAGAGCGGCTTTCCGAGCGGGAAAGGGGGCCGCGGGACCCCCAACCTGCGCTTCGGCAAAAGGTAAGCTGGGATGCTGAAGCGGGAGTGGGAAAAGGGGCGAAGGGAAGGGATTCCGGCTTTTATTCCGGGGCCTGTGCCGATCCCAGCACGCTCTTCCCAAGTCGAGGCGGCGGCGGCGGCGAAACGGAAAGCGGATGAGGCTTCCACAGAAGCCATCCCGGAACCAGGCAACCGCGAGCGGGAGAAGGAACCAGGAGCAGCGGTGCGGACCGTAGCCCTGCCCCGACTGCACCTGCTACATCTTCCGCTTTCACCTTGCAGGTTTCTCCATCCGGGACTTTCCCACTTTGCAGCCGGTGGAGCGCCCCACCACCACGTGATTGTTACGCAGTCTATGCAAAATAGGTGGGCAGACAGGTGCGATAGCGATAGACGTCGGTCCCCGTGATTGGCGCCCGGAGAGCGGTGGGCGTGGTTCACCTGCGGTGTTCGGCGGCCATTGTGGCCCAGCGGGCAGCTTGGCCCGGGAGGACATTGCGATGACGCGGGAGAAAAGTCTGGCGCTGTTGATCACGTTGGCGGCTGCGCTGGCGGCCGCAGAGTCGCCGCCAGGTAAGAATTCGCGCCCGGTGCTGCTCCCCTGAGCCGGCCTTGAGGAAGAGGCGTTCCTCCCGTCCCTTTGTAGCTTCAAACACGGTGGCCAGGCTTGGTTGCGGATCGTTGGGCGGGTTCCTGCGCTGTGTGCGGGCCACTACCAACGCCCTGGTCTCTACAGCGCAGGCTGGCCTTGACATGCCCCACCCGAAAAGATCGGCCGGCTGCGGCTCGCTTTAGCCCCCCCGCCCCCACTGTCCCGGTTGTCGAGAGTCCTCTTCCACCCCCCCGCCCCCGCGTCTTTCCCAGCCACGTTTGGCTGCTGGGTCTGGGAGATGAGGGCCTCCTTTCTGCCCAGTTAGACGGGCACTAGCCGGGTAGCTCCCCCCCGCCCCCCTCTGGATAGCTCCTGAAGCCCGCCTTCGCTCTGCTAGTGGGGTGGGCAGGTACGAAGATGGCAGCCTCTCGCCAGGCCTCTCTTGTGGCCATCAGGGCTTTATGCACCTGCTGGTTGTGTTGTCCTGGCTGAAACCCCAAGTGGGGGGGGGAGTCTTGTCTTCTGGCAGGGTTGGGGGCAGAAGAAAGCCTTTTCCTGGGCTACAGCCAGCTGAGAATGGTGTTGTCTGCCCTTCCCATGAACTCCCATGGATGAGAGGATGTTCAGTGAAATCTGATCAGGTGGGATGGGCCAACCAGCCCTGAACTGGTTCAGCCTGTTTGGGTGAGGTCTGCAACTTGTGCCTGAGTCACCTGCCTCCCTGCCATTGTCTGCAGGAGGAAGTTGGTGCCAACTGGACTTCCTGTAAGAAAACGTTCCTGCTGCCCCTGCCTAACAAAGGGGGGCAGTGGGTGCTTTCACCTGCCTTCTCTACAAGGGCCAAATGGCCACAGGGCAAATCCCAAACTTTGAGCAAACAGGAGGAGGGAGCAGGATCTTCTCTCTGCAGTCAAGAGCGGAGGGTCTTCCCTGCGTTGTCTCTTGGTGTGGGAGGTTATGGTGGGCCAATCTCTGGCTCCTTGCCAGCAGCATCCTGGGTGGGATCTTTGGGCCACAAATATTGCACGAGGGAGCAAAATGGGAAATTAAGGGCTTTCTTCTCTGAAGCTCACACTCTGCCCAATTATTTCTGGACAAAATCTCTGTTCATCTGAGAAATGGCTAGCTTAGCCCCCTGCAACATTTCATTCAAGTCAGTCATAAACTGGAGGCTCTTACAGCTATGACACGGTTATATGCCTGAAGCCTCAAACTCATTCCAAGTTAAGGAGGCGTTCAAATTAATCCACTGGGCCTTTTTCAATTTGAGTTCTGCTTTAAAACTAGTGGGGTTATGGACAGCAGTTTTGCATGCACATTACAGTGAAAAAGCCTAGAGAACTACAGTGCAATAAATCCCACACTAAGCAACATGTGTTGCTGAATGAGTTTCTCCTCTGCTCTCCAAAGACCTCCCCCTCACCCCGTATCCCTCCTTCTTTCCAGGTGCATAGGTTACCTTTCCCCACTTTTGCCCTTGGAAATTGCTCCTCCTGTAGATTCTATTTATTTCCGTATAATTATAAAAGCTAACTACGGAGTTCTGATCTCTTTTCCTTTTGTGGGTCACTGGGGGGATAGAAATCTGCCCAGACACTGTGTTTGCAAGGGTTGGGACTTAGACCTTGGAAACGGGGTGTCTGTAGGACATCAGCCAGAGGGAGATGGGCGGCAGTCGAGAAAGTTTCCTTTCTTTTTTAAATTCAAAGTTTTTTTTATTTTTATTTTTTACACATCTCTTCATGTGAGCAACGTGATTCCAGATTACAATATTTATACATAATCATCGACACTTTCAACTTTCTTAATATCATTTCAAATTATTATCCATTCGACTAATCTTTAGATAAATTTCCCTTTCATATTTCAACTCATTAATTCAATATCAAAATCATTTCATCCTCACATATCTTTTTAATTCTTTATCCCCTATTATTTCCATTTTCAGCTTACCACCTATTTATGTTACCTTATATATTGTTATCTATAACTTTCTCAAGACCAATTTAAAATTAGACAGTCAATGAAAGAATGAGTAAAAGTAAAATAAGATTAATACGTTTAGGATCCACATGGTATATCCCCCATCTACAATATATCTTATATCTATTCCAGAGATATTCATATAATCATTTCATGTTTTTTCTTTGTTTCTAAAATTTACCTATATAATTTTAATAACATTTCATTCCCCAGCTTTTGATTATAATATAATTCATTCATTATAAATATTTTACATTCCCACATAATCCCTTCTAGTTCATTATATTTTCTATTTTCTCATACCCTTTGTATAATCAATTATATTTTCTATTTCATGTATACCACAAAAAAATAAAATAAAAACAGAGTTAATTTCCCCCTTTACTTCCTTTTAACCAATTTCTACCTATAGCATTTATATAACCCTAATTCACACTTTTTAAACATAATTAATACCAGCTTTTCGCCCATCATTATATTCTCTGTTTTCCAAATATTTAAATAGTCATTAGCATACTTGTGTGTGTGCGGGGGTGTTTAGGTCTTTTCCCATGTAAGATTAAGAGTATTTTGGCAATGTTTTGGCGAGATCCCACTCGCCATCCTCAGGCTGGTGCTTTCGGCTTTGTGCCAGTGCAAGCAGTGTGTGTGTGTGTGTGTGTGTGTGTGTGTGTGTGTGTGTGTGTGTGTATGTATGGTATTCAGCTTTGTTTGGGTATTCTTCCACGTCATTATAGTTATGCTTTTAAAGCTGTAGCAACGTTTTGGCAGAATCTTATCTGCCATCATCAGGCTTCTGCATAGTGTTCATCTGTGAGTCAGACTTTCTCAGCCTCACAGATGAACACAATACAGAAGCCTGATGATGGCAGATGAGATTCTGCCAAAACGTTGCTACAACTTTAAAAGCACAACTATAATGACGTGGGAAAATACCTGAACAAAGCTGAATACCATACATACATACATACATACATACATACATACATAATGTGTGTGTGTATGTGTGTGTGTGTGTGTGATTAATAACAATAGAACCCTCTTAATATCACTCACTCCATTTTTCCTCTCCCCCTTGCTTTTCTCTTTTTTTGAAATTTCTTCTTGTACAGCTTCTTCTTTTGCTTACTCTTGGGAGCTTTTTCTCTTTTATTTATTATCTGTGTCGTCAATGTCTTAGTTTTAGTTCCTTTTCTGTCTTTTGGCAATGTCTCTGAATCTTCATGTCCATCTTGGCTGTTTTCCTCTTCCTTTGGCTCCTCTAGAATTCCTTTGTTCTGCTATAAATTGCATTACTTTTTCTGCCAGTGTGTCCAATAAATCCCTTCTTTCTTTTATCATTTCTTTCACTGTTTGCAGTTCCAACTCAAATTCTTTGCTTGCTTCTTCCATTTTTTAATCAATTATGTTATTCTTTATCTTATTAAAGTTAATTGTAATCCTTGCCAAGAGACATTTATATCTCTTTTTCTTACGGTCCTCCTATTTCCTTTGCACAGTCAACCCTCAGCAGTCCCAAGATATTGCCTTCCTTTGTCCTCTTACTGCAATCTCCCCCTTTTTCTTTTAAGCTTCTGGGCTTCCTGTTATGTAAGTCTTTTATTTCATGTCTTTTCTCATTCACACGTTTAACAGACCTGTAATTTTCCATAAAGTCATCTAGGAAAAAATGCCTTGTACCATTAGGTAGTGCTCTATATCACTTCCACTTTTCAAAGTTCTTTTTTCCCCCTTTTTTTCAATTTTATTAATGGTAATTTTCAAGCATTTCAACCATTAGCTTTTTTTAAAAAATACAATCAATTCCAAGCAAGTTCAGCATTTTATTCAATGCCTAATTAATGCCAGGTTCTGTATATTATTCCCGATTGCATCCTTAATTTCATTATAGCTCTTTTGTAGTAGTCCAGACTTTTATTTACTTTATATTGTCCTCTTGTTTTCTATTCGCCACCGTTGTACTCTCAAGCGAGGAGTCTTTCTTTCTGCTTTTCAGGGTTATTAAAACAAAAGGTTCAGCTTCTCTTGTCTGGATACATGCCACTCACCACTTCACTTCTCCAGCCCACACTTAGGTCCCAGTAGCTTCCTGTCTTCAGGGCAGCCATTAAAACAGACGCTTCTCCCTGTCTTCCAGGGGAGTATACCAAGCCAGGGAGGGGAGATGCGGCTCCCCTCAACCCAGCTGGTGGTCTCCCCCTCTTCCCCCACCCCTCCGAGGTGGGTCTGATGTTTCAGTCCCGTAGGGACCCCTCCAACAGGGTAAGCATGGATCGAAGCTGCGCACGATCACAGTCTCCATCCGTCCTTGATGGAAGTGCCACCATAACTCTGAGAAAGTTTCCTGAAGTGGTGCATTGCATTTCAGCCTGGCCTGCCTCAGCCTGCATTCTCTGAAAGCCCTCCATCCCCCAGCCACACAGTAGGAAATGTGACCATACCAGGTTGCTGGAAAATCTAAACGGCAGCTGTGGCACAGGTGGACCATCTTGTGGTGGTCAAAATCCTGTGGGATTTGCTTTTGCTGGTGGGCAAGGAAAGTGATCCAGAGAGGCAGCGTTCCTTTCCTTGGCCGGCTTCACCAGGGATGAAACCCAGAATCTTAGGCCTCTGTGGTCTTTCCACTCGTACTCTCCCCCCCCCAAACAACAGCTGTTTTTGGCAAAGTTGTTGTTTTCCACTCTCCTGGGACAAATGGTGACATGCATAGAGAAGGACCTTCCACTGGAAGAGATACTACAATCAGCTCTAGAATTAGGAAAATACTTTTAATCTTCAGTAACAGAATCAAAGTGTAGGGCAAGCATTCATCTGCTCTGAGGGAACAGTTCACAAATGCCAGCCCCGCCAATGCCTGCAAGTGGATATTTGCACAAAAGCCAAGGAATTTTCAGCTTTCTGAATGCTATCCCTCCCAGGAAAAGTACCACTGTAACTGCTCTATTAAGGCAAGTTGACTTGCACAGATGGGTATCCCAGACTTATCTCTGCAAGATCAGCCTTCTGAGGAAGAGGGGATGAAGGATCCCACTAGCATCCCATTCATAACTTGTGGTTCACAATCCTACTTGCCTTTCCAGACCAATCTGGGGGGAGTTGTCCTGGGCTCTTGGTGCCCAGAGTGGGTAGCAGCTAAGTGTGGCAGTGGGTCTAAATGCCATCAGAAAAATATTTGATACTTCTGATGGTGTTTCAGTTGAAGACGGACCAGAGACCACGATTGTGCACAGCTTTGATCTGTGCTTGCCCTGTTGGAGGAGTCCCCGAGGGACCGGAACCATCTGACCCACCTCGGAGGGGTGGGGGAAGAGGGGGAGACTGCCAGCTGGGTTGAGGGGAGCCTCATCTCCCCTCCCTGGCTTGGTACTTACTCCCCTAGAAGACAGGGAGAAGTGGCAGTTTAATGGCTGCCCTGAAGCTGCCGGGACTTAACTTTGTGCTGGAGAGTGGAAGTGGTGAGCGGCGTGTAACTAGATAAAAGACTTTGAATTAAAAAAAAAAACCTCAAAAAGAGGAAAGAACGAGTCCTTGCTTGGAAGAATGGTAGCAGCGAAACGAGAATAAGAGGAAAATATAAGGTAAAGGAAAAATCCAAAATAAAAGAATTATATGAAATCAGATATTAAATTTGATAATATACAGAATTGGACATTAATTAGGCACTGGATAAAATGCTAGACTTATTTGGAATGGATAAAAATTAACATTAATACTACGGAAAAGAGAATTAAAAATAAAACAAACTTTGGAAAAAACGTGATATGGAACACCACCTAATGGTTAAAGATTTTCCTCTTTTGTTTTTATGGAAAATTACTGGTTGCATAAATATTTGAAAAGAGAAGAAATAGAATAAAAGATTATTAATGCAACAAAACCCCAGAAGTGTGTTTGTTTGTTTTTTTAAAGAGGAGACTATAGTAAAATATAAAAGTATACAATATTTTGGGACTGCTGGAGGTTGACTGTGACAAGAAAACAGAAGAAAGAGAAAGTGAGAGAAACGGAAACTTTTGGTAAGGACCATAATAGAAAAAATTGATCTTTAATAAAGAAATGGAAGAAATAAGCAAAAAAATTAAGTCGGAGCTGCAAACTGAAAGAGGTATGTTAAAAGAAAGAATGAAATTGCTGGACACAATGATTAGTAAAGTAATGGCATTGCAGCTTGCAGAAGAACAAAGAAAGCTCAGAGATGGCGAGCCGGAAGAGGGAACCAACAGCCCAGATGACTATGGAGAACAAAGACCATTGCCAAAGGATATAAAAGGATTTAAAATAGAGACATTGACAACAGAGACAACAAATGAAAGAGATAAGGCTCCCAAGACTAAGAAGAAGAAGGAATTATATAAGAAGAAACCCCCAAAAAAGAGAACTGGAAAGGGTGGGGGAAAACATGGCTGACAGGCAGAGGAGAATAAAAATAATACTAGAAGAAGAAAAAGAAGAAAGACCAGGATATTTAGAAAAAGGAAAGCTGGCTAAAATTAAAAGAAATAATAAAGCTGAAAAATTTAGAGATAAGAGTTAGGGATTCTATAAGGGGGATACCACATGGGAATGTATATTGGCATTTAGTCTACAACTTGCTGGGAAATATTTTAGGTTTGTGTGTGTGTGTGTGTGTGTATAAGACCAATAAACACAGACCAAGACTCCCAACCAATCAGGATGAAAAAAAAAAACATTCTAACACAGCAGTAGGCTAGCACCAAATTTAAAACAGAAATGGCTGTGAAAGCCTGACTCGCAGACGAACACAATACACAAGCCTGATGATGGCAGATGAGATTCTGCCGAAACGTTGCTACAACTTTAAAAACACAACTATAATGACATGGGAAAATACCCAAACAAAGCTGAATACCATACATATAAATACCCATGAACTTAAACAAACACACACACACACACACATGAATATGAATTGTATATGAATTATGCTGTTATGAACCCTTTCTTTGGAGGATTAAAAACGGGAATGGAAATGAATTAAAATATATAAAGTGGAAAGGAAGAAAAAATGATTGTTAATGATTATAAGTAAAGTGAAGATAAAATGAGACATATTAAGAAGTTATTTTAGCGATTTACTGGGGGGAATACTTTAAAATATATACATTTTAAAATATACAGTTGATTATTTAATGGATATTAGAGGCATACATTGAGAGTATTTTATTATGATTAAAGTAGGGGAACAAAAACCATGTGGATCCTAAATATATTGGCTTTATTTTACTTTTACTCTTTTTTTAGATTATTTATTATATATCGGCTTAGAGAAAATTAAGGATAATAATGATGTGTAATATAAAATAAAATAGGTGATAAGCTGAAAATGGAAATAATAGGGGATAAAGAATTGAAAACCTATGTGTGGATGAAATGATATTGATATTGAATTAATGAAATGCAAATTTATTTAAAGATGAGTGAAATGGATAATGATATGAGATGATATAAGATTAATGGAAATGAAAGTATAACTATGTACCAGTGTTATAATCCAGAATTATGTTGCTCATGTGAAGAGATGTGTAAAATTAAAAAAATAAAACACTTTATTAAAAAAAAAATATTTGAGTGTGGAGTCCACTGGCCTCTTTGAAGCTGCTTCCTTCCACAAACCTCTCTCTGCTTTCAGGCCGATGCCACTCGCCCAAGACAGTGGGGCCTTGTCGGGCATCCTTCCATCGGTGGTGGTACAATGCCACAAGTCAGATGTGCCAGGAATTCATTTTTGGAGGTTGCAAAGGCAATGCCAACAACTTCGTCTCCAAACAGGACTGCTTCCAGACGTGTATCAGAGGTGAGCATCAATGAAGGAGAGTATTTATAGCTCAGGGTTAAAATGAGGGTCCTTGTTGCTCCCTGAGCTTGGTTGTTTCCCTGAAGACATTGCGTTACTCAGACTAAGTAACATCATCAGTGCTAGTCTAGCACTACCGTCAGACTAGCACTGATGTCATCTAGTTGGGTAATGAAACGTCTGCTAGAAAACAGCCCAGTCCAGAGAGCACAATACCACGGGTGAACATGCCACAGAGAGATGCCAGAAAGGGTGTTTATGAACCCAACGCCTGCTGCTGCCTTCCTCTTTTCCTACCGCTGGGACCCCCTGTCACTACGAGGGGCACAAGGCTCCTGCTGCCTTTCTCCCCTTCATGCTTTGTGGCTTTCACTACACCCAAATCCTCAGCCCCGAGAGAAAGCCGCTTGCGTTTCTCCTGCCTTCAGAGCAGCTAGAAGTGGGAGTTCCCAGGACCTGGCATCCACAGTTGGCTCCTGGCAAGGGGTGCGTGCTCTGGGTCACCATCAGGAATGCAGCACTTAATGCACTTAACCATCTCAACACAGAGCAGTAGACAAAGAAAGGCCGAGATCTCCCTCCCCAGGGGATTTTGTCCAAGGCTCCCCTGGGCATGAGGGAGTGGGCCAGGCCAGGCCCGGCCCTTCAGTGAATCTGCTCCAGACCGTTGCTCTGGGTTTCTGATGCCAGAATTCTCTTGACTTCCAGGAGGGGCTGCAGAGGCAACAGTGGTACCTAGCGGGCCAGCCACTGAAGGTAAGGGTCCTGGGCTCATGCACGAGGCTGGAAGAATTGGGAACTCGAGGAATTGCTCTCAGAGGTGGGCTGGAGGCTGGGGTCTCCGGAAACCTGTAGCCCCTCAACAATGCTGCCTTGGTGGCCAATTTCCCTGCAAGGGGCTGTTTTCTACAGCCTCCCAAGCCAGATATTTCTTGAGGTCTTCCGGCAGGTTAGGTCTTACCCTGTGTTTTGCACTGGCTGCCTTTTGGAGAGTGGGGCAGGTGAACCTCTAGGACCCCTGGTGTGCATATTAGGGGTGCCCAGGCCTGGGAAGGGGGGAGTGGCTTGGAACAGCCAGCTTTTGCCAAAGATGACCACTGGTTTTCAGCCTCTGGCCAATTGCTCTGCTTTTCTCCCAGTGGCTACACCAAGAGCTGGACATCTCCCAGAGGCCTATGAAAACAGGCCTGGCTTCAGAGGTAAGAGAGTTCCTTCCTTCCTTCCCCGGACTGTCTTTCCTCCAGGGGCCTCTCCGAACCATCTCTTTTCCCCTAGAATTCTGTGCTGCGCCCCGGGTGGTAGGTCCCTGCCGGGCCTCCTTCCTCCGTTGGTACTTCGACCTAGAGAGCCGGATGTGCAAGATGTTCATCTATGGGGGCTGTCGTGGCAACAAGAACAACTATCTCTTCGAAGAGCACTGCTGGAGCCAGTGCACAGGTGATGGAGGTAACCCCTGTCACCCTTCCCAGACAGCTGGCATGCCCTCCCACCCCACCTCCCAAGATCCAGCATGATTCGGAAAAGTCCTTGCTTCCCCTGCACAACCCCCAAAAGGGCAGCCGGGACTCCCAGTTGCTCCTCCCCACTTTTCTCTTTGTCTTCTCTCTGCTTCAGAGATAACTGAGGAGCCAGGAGATGCAGGCGCCCCCCCTCGCCTCCCCTCCGAACCCTTCAGCTTCTCCACCAGAGGTGCGTAGCTGGTCCTCAGCAGAAACGGGGGGAAGTGGGATCTCATGGGGTTTGTGGCCAGCTCAATCCAGGAGGGACCTGGGCTTCCTGGGGCCTCTTGGCAGGATTGTTCTTGGTACAGCTCCACAGCAAGGGCCCTCCTGACAAGGGCTCCCTAATTGTGCTGCTGCCACAGCTTCTCCAGGGGAGGAATCCATCCCGTCCTGCATGTGTTCCCTTCTGTCCATCACCCTCTGTTGGAAAGTTCCCATTCTGGATAAGGAGGCACCCAGAGGACCACTGCCTTGCCAACCAAGCAGGCAGCAGGGAAGCTCCCCCGCCTTCCTGAAGCAAAACCCCTTCCCCGCCTGAGGCTTTGTCTCTTCTTCTTCTTCCCCAGCTGTGGTCCTTGCCGTCCTTCTGGCCATCCTGGTGACTATCCTGCTGGGCTCGATGGGGGTTTTCTTTGTTAAGATCTGCCGGAAGAACCCGGAGTTGTCCGTGGGAGCCGTGTGGAGCACGATGGATGACAAAGAGTACCTGATGAGCAATGCCTACACCCTCTGAGCGAGGGAGCTGCCTCAGTGGGAGCCAAAGGAGCATGTAAATACCGCAGCAGGCGGCTGTGCCTTGCTGGGCTTTGATAGGGAAGCATCCCTTTTCCCTGGGAACGTCCCCCTTCTCTCCCCCGGCCTTGGTCACCCTTTCGGCTCAGCTGCTCCACAGGAGTCCAGAAGGAGCTGCGGGCACTGCCCTCCCCCCTTCAGACCCAGTGGCGACTCCTCCTCACTTGACCCACGGCCCCACCCTTACCTTCCCCCTGGGGAACGGGCTCTACGTAGCCATGTCCCACTGGGGTCCTCCCAATGCATTGGAAGACTACCTGGGAATGCCCAGCTGAAGCTGCCAGTGACTCCTCCGGTTGAGTCCCGCAGAGGCGGCTCTGGAGGGTGGGCCTGTGCCCTGCACACATTAATCCTGTTGGGGAAAGAAGGGGTGGCGAGGCTGTTGAAGCCACGTTTCTTCAGGATGAAAAACAAAAACAAAAACTTTTGGGGTGTTGATACCACTGTGCTTCTGTAGAATTCCTCTGGTGCACCCAAGACCTAAAGGTACTGTCTTCCCTCTCAAGCTGGGCCGGGCCATGCATTTCCCAGTGGGGTGAGAGAACAGGCTGCCGTGCAGGGGTTCTGCACAGCTTTCACCAGGGCCCTGCAAAACCTCATTTCCCTGGGGGACACCAGCAAGGAGTGAAGAGCCCCCAATCTGGGAGCCAGGAAGGGAGAAAAGCAAGGTGTAAGGACCCTAGCGGCCCGTATGTTGCTTTGTCTGGGCAGGGGGCCTTGGGCCCCCTTAGTTTATTCCTCACTATGCCTTAAGCTCAGCTCTTCTCCGGGACCTGTGGGGGCTGCCCAGTTTTTCTTGAGATTATCAGGCGCCGACAGCTGCAGCTGTTGAGGCTCTGCCATTGGCTGGCATGGACTATTTTCCCCCAAGCCTCCCAGACGAGGCCACCTTTGGCTCCCAGGCCCACTGCAAACCTTCATTTCTCTGAATTGCACCGTGGGCTGTGGCTGCCAGCACTTCCACCACATGGTTCCCTCCCTGCCGGGAAAGGCGCGGTTTTCAAAGAGTGGCCGCTGCGGAGGCATCTCACTGAGCAAGCTTCTACATAACCAGCTTTAAATGGGTTTTTATATATTTTTAAAAAAACAGATCAAAACTTGATTGTATGAAATCCTGAGGGACTCTTTTAATTGTTTTTAATAATGAATGAACTCTGAATAAAAGAATAACGGAACTTTTGTGCAATGAATGCTGTAGCCCTGGAGGGGAGCGGGTACTGGCCAAGGGGTGCAGCTCTGGCTGCAGCCCAGAAGGCATTGGAGAAGCTCCTGCCCAACTAGGACTGCCCCTTGCCCATTCAGCCCTGGTGACAAAGGTAGCTGCTACTCCTTGGAAACTTTCCTTGAAAGCCTCGGGGGCAAAGCAGGCTTCCCTGCTGCCAGGAACCTAACTGCTTCCCTTCCCCACTCTTTTCCAAGCATCTTCCCGTGTGCCTGGAGGTACAACCGTTTTGCTTCTGACCGCACGTCGCAGAGCAGGCCAACCCCCTGGGGGAGGGCAGGTGGAAGACAGACAATGGAGTACCCCTATCGAAATGACAGAGAGCACGCACACACTGCCTCCCACATTTTATTTTGTTTGTGGCAAGCGGGGAATTCCATATCCTGAAGAGACAGGAAAGCAGGCCCTTTCCCCAGTTCCTCTGCAGGAGTGACCAGCCTGGCTGGACAAGAACCAGACCGAAAAGAGCAGGACAAGCAAACGTCCTGAGCCAAATCAAGGTGGGAGCAGTGCAAACTGCCAGGCACCTTCCAAAGAAGGACTGGGGAGCTGTGATTTAGGGCCCAGGAAAACCCACTTGCCCTCCTCTGTGTCTTCTGCACAACCAGGGCGGCCGGGGAGAGGGGACAGTTTGGAAATGCTGGGTGTTGGGGCCCCAAAGCAGCTGCTGGAGCAAAGCATCAGTAGATGAGCTGAAAGGTGAGCCAGTACATGAGGAGGGGCTGCAGCCCAGCCACAGCCATGGTCAGGTACATGCGCACTTGGTTGTTGGTGTCCCGCCTTGGGACCCCCTCGGTTGCCTCTGACAGGATCTTCAGGCGTAGCGAACGGATCTGAGAGGAGGAGGATGGATGAGAGCAGCCCACTTAGAAAAGGCAGTGTAGGCGGGTGGCCAAGGACCCACAAAAGTGAAGGGGAGGGCCGGCCACCCACCCTCACCCAGCATGGCAGCCTCTCCCTCTCACCATAAACACAAAGACGGTGACACAGCACCAGCCGAGCAGCATGTAATAACCGGTCTTCCCAAAGAGCAGCCCTGCCAAGAGGCCTGCAATCATGCTGGCAAGGAGAAAAAGATGGGTTAACCTCACTACCCATCCCGTCCCCCCATCCCGCCCCGCCCCGCCAGGATGCAAGGACCCCAAGCTCCTCACCCAACATATTTGTAACCTGAGAAGGCAATCAGGTCGATGGGGGTCAGTTCGGTGTTGACGGCCGCAAGGTAGAGACCGATCAGAATGGCCAACACCTCCAGGATGAGCCACGCCAGGGTGGAGCTCGCCAGCAAGCCCAACAGGTCAGGGGAGAACCTGCAAGGAGCAGCAGGAGTGGGGAGGGGGTTCCAGGCTAGGGGAGGGGAGCCCGCTAGGCTCAGGTGCCCACACCAGTCTCACCGATTCTGAGTCCCCAGCGCCAGCCCAGCCACCAGCAGGTAGGTGATGAAGGCCATGACTGTGGAGGAAGAAAAGGAGGAGGAAGCGGGCGGCTTGCCGCCGCCCCCCCCCCACACCCCCTGTCCGAGCCCTACCTGGGATGTAGAGGTCGGGGGCATTGACGTCGAAGCGGGGCGCCACGGGGGGGTCCTGCTGGTAGCGCACCTGCCAGTCCTGCCGAGACAGACAGACAGACAGACAGACGGAGGGGGGAGGGGCGGGGACGGGAGGACCCCTCGCCCGCCCCGCCCCCCCCACTCACCTGGTGCCCGAAGGGGAAGAGCAGCCGCGCCAGCTTCTGCCCCACGTACCGCGTGTCCACCGCGAAGTAGCACTGCAGGCGGCGCAGCGGCACCAGGCGCTCGGCCTGAGAGGAGACGCGGGTCAGGCGGGCGGCGCTCTGCACATGCTCGGCAGAGGCTCGGCACCGGCGCGGCACTCACCAGTGCCCGCCCCCGCCAGGCCAGGCTGCTGCCGTAGGCCGCGGCCAGCTTGGCGAACGGCTCCGGCCGCGGGGGGCGCCCGCTCGGGTCCTCCGAGAGCCGCGGCGGGGCGGCGGGCGGGCGGCGGGCGGGCGACGCTGCGAAGGGAAAGGCGGGTGCGCCCCCCTCGCGCCCCCGCGCCCCCCCCCGCTCGCGCGCGGCCTCTCCCGCCGGGTCGCCCTCCATCGCTGGGCGCTGCTGGGTGCGGGGCAATGGGCGGCCCGGGACGCCAGCCACGTGAGGCCGCCGTCGTTCCGGACAGGCGGGCCAGTTGCCAGGAGACCGTTTGACGTCACCGAGGCCCCGCCTGCTTGGCGTGCAATGACGTCACTGCACACCAAGTCGCCCCGCCCGTCTTTCGCGGAGGCGATTCCAGTTTTTTTGGGGGGGGCGGGGGGTGGCAGGGGGTTTGCTCTGGCAGCCCAGAGAGGCTCGAGGGGAGGAACCGGCTCGGCGAGCGGCTATGGGTTCCTAGTAGCCGTGAGAACAACTTCTCCGGCGGGTTTGCCTGCGACGACTCCGCTCGGCTGCGACAAGCGAACCCAGGAATTGAAGGAGGGCGAGTGCAACGATGTGCGTTTGGCAATCGCCAAAGGCCTCCTGGGTGAAAAGCAGGTGGTGGAGTCTAAAGCTGGTTCCGGAGGGCAGAAGGACCGTTCCTTGGTCCCGATAAATCTGGCAAGTTTTCATGGCAGGAACCTGGAGCGTCCCATCCCTGCAGGAGTGAATCGGATGGGCTTATAGATTGGGGGACAGGTGTTCCCTCAAGTTAAGCTAGCACCCACCACCTTGCAGGCTGCCTGGAAGTAAGCCAGCAGCCAACACGGTCTGCAAAGCAGAGGTGGGCTTGTTGAGATATGCCCATTACTGCTCACCACTGCATTCTGGAGCCAGTTGAAGTTCCCGGTGCTTTTCAAGGGAGCCTGGTGGTATGGTGCATGGCAGAAGTCAAGCATAAGGAGACTAGAACAAGAGTGACTGAAGGGCCCCCAATCTAGGAAAGGCCTTCTTGGCTCCAACTGACATAGAATGGGAAGAACCTCAGGGGGCACACCTTGAAGGGGGATGGGCTACCTCCTGCAAGTCAAAGATCTGGGAGGTCCCCAGATCTGGGTGATTGAAACACCCGCACTCGGTCTTGGCAGGGTCAAGTCATTCCTCTCCATCCAAACCCGCCTAGGCTCCTGACACAGTCAGAACCTTGCCAACTTAACTTGACTGGACCTGGGGATCTCCGCCTCTGGGCATGAATGCAACGCCCATTTGGGACTGACTGGCAACCTGCCTGGACTCTCCGCTCAGCTTGAAGAAGAGATGGCAGTTCTGGCCAGGAAGGTCTTCAGGCAGTCTTTCCCTGGGGCACCCTGTGGGTGGACTAGGCAGAAGCTGCACTTAGCCAGTGTGCAATGGAGTAAGTAGGGACGCTGCATGCAATTGCAGGTTCTGTCAAGCGCAGTGTAGAGCCTAGGTACTAGCTGCAGCCTCTGCCTGTCCTGCACAGCCTGGCAGGCTTAGCTTGTTTGATTAAGCCAGCCTTCTTTCTTGCTGCACAGGCCTCTCAAGATCTGTTTGTGCCCCTACCCCCACCCCCTCTTGAGAATCCGGCCATTGTGTTAATCAGCTGTTACTTGGGGCATCCTCCTTTCATGGCTGGGCTGCTGTTCCTTCAGATTCCTCTTGCTAGATGGAGCCTTGCCTTGCTTTCTGCAAGAAGCCCTTGTTGACGGGGGGGGGGGGGGAGCCCATGGCATCAGCCCTCCAGGGGGCCCCAATAGGTTTCAGGAGGAGGATGCCACTGTCAGGTGGCTTGGTGGCTTCTGGGGGTCATGCTGGGAGTCTCTAAGCGGCATAGAGGCATAGGCCCAGAGAGCCATAGGCTGGCTCCCTTTTCCTGGGTCTGGTGGAATTGGGGAACCAGTCCTTGTGGAACAAGCACTCGGGCCCTCATGGGCTGTTCATGTACACGCTGACATGTGAACACTCTGGATACACCCACATGAAAGATGAGAGTGAATGTTGGAAAATAAAAAATGTTGAGGGATTTGCTTCACTTTTTGCTTGTACATATACTGACAGCTTATGCACTGGAGACAAATTCCTGGTGTGTCCAATCACACTTGGCTGACAAAGAATTAGAATTCTAATTCTTCTGCTCCCCATTCGCGCTGCTGTTGCAGGGGACCCTTTCTCTCTGCCTGGTGGCTCTTCCCGGTCCTTGTTCCCTCAGGCTTCCTTGCTAGCAAACCTCTCACCAGTCGCCCAATTCCTGTTTTCACACAACTTGCTTCCTGCCGAGAGCACACCCACAGTCCTGAAAGGGAGGGGAATGCCTCCCTCCTCTAGACCTCCTGAGCGGGCTAACGAGCTCTTTTTTCTGCTCTCTTGATCCCTCCCTTCATTCTGGGAGGTGGCAAGGACCAAGGCCAAGACAGGACAGGACAGCAGGGGAGCAGCAAAGCACAAGGCTTTGGCCAGAAGTCCTACCTGGTGCCCACTACCCTTGCTTCCTCCAAAATCTGGCCCTCCTGGGGTGGGCTTCCAGTCCAGTTGGAAAGGCCAAGGATTGGCCTTAATCTCTTGGTCTAAGTCAGGGCGAGGAGCCAGGGGCCTCTGAACATGTACCCGATGCTGAGCACCTGACCGTCGGAGTTGGTGGAACTGGGACTGAACTGGGCGAAAGGATCCCGCCTGCCAGGTGCAACTCTTGGCTGTCCCGGCTCCACCTGACGGGAGGAGCCTGGCCGCCGCCCAAGAGGCTGGTCAGCGGAGTCGCCGGGGCGGACACCGGCTTGGCTTCTGCAAGCGTCTCCTTCTTCCGCTCCTATTTGCCGCGAGTGGCTCTGCGCTCCTCCGGGAGAGCCATGAGGCGCGGCGCCGTGCTGGCAGCCTTCGCGCTGGCCTACGCGGGCTACCTGCTGCTCGGAGCGCTGATCATTTCAGCCGTCGAGCGACCCTACGAGAGCCGGCTGCGAGCCGAGCTGCAGGAGCTTAAGAGCGACTTCCTGCGCAGCAGCCCCTGCCTGTCCGAGGCCAGGCTGGAGCGCTTCCTGGGCGCCGTCTTGAGCGCCGACCGCCACTCCGCAGCCCTCCTGCACAACGGCTCGGCTGCCACGTCCAACTGGGATTTCGCCTCGGCCTTCTTCTTCGCCAGCACTTTGATCACCACCGTGGGTGAGTCGAGGCCGGCCTCGCTTCTTCGGGACAGGCGGCCCTGTTCTCCTCCACTTTCCGCCAGCCATTCCGGGCGCGGTGGGGGGAGGGGGAAGGGGCTGGCGGGATCCCCGCAACCGTGCGCCTTGTAAGGTGGCGGCGCCGGGAGGAGCGCGCTTCGGGGGTCCAGGCCGAGACCCACCCTCCACTCCCAACTCTCGGACACAGCCTCTTTTTCACGCTTGAACGTGGCGCCGTGTCTCTACCCTCCGAGACGCGATCTTGAGGGAGAACTGCTGGCACAGGTGAGCAGCCGCGGCCGCTTGCTGGTCTTCGCCTGCTGCTCGCTCGGGGCTGCCGAGGGTCGAAACAGTGCGCCAAGAAGGGGCCTTAGTACAGTCGCTGGCTTTGCCTGGGGCGGTTCTCTGATGGTGCGGGTGGTCACATACGGTCCCTGCAGCCCGTTCTGACCCGAAGGGTGTGGACGGAACTGCCAGGCTTAGCCGGAGCTGCGTCTCCCGGCTCGGGTGTTCAGGCTTGTTTGGCTGCGTGAACTGGTAGCAATCCATCGGCTCCGCTTTGTACCTTGCCCGGTGGCAGCTGGCTCTTCTGGTGGAACCCGCCTTTTCCGAGGGAGCCTCGGGCGGCTACTGGGCTGGCCTCCACGGATCCTCCCTTATTCCTGGCAGGAGCCCTGCAAAACAGGTGGCAAACCTGGTGCCCTTCTTAGTGGGGCTCCATCAGAGGTGAGAGGCGATTTCTGTGCTTTTGGTGCCAATGGCAAGTTTTAAAATTTCATGTTCCATTTTTTTAAACCTAACAGCACAATTTTATTAGCAATAGTTACACGAATATTGCACCATTGTCATGTAGAATGACTCCGAAGATAACTGTTGTGGTTACAACGCTCACAAAAACGGCAAAAGAAGAAACAACAGTTAATTTACCCCCCTCCATTTCTTTCTGGAGAAAGAAAAGGTGAAAGGTGGCCTGGGCAAGTGCTGGGCTCCGTCAGCTACACTTGGCTTATGGGCAGAAGTGCCAGCTTTAAAAAAGGGCGCTAGCCTTGATCATCTGTGTCCTCTTGCCACACAGGCTATGGGCAGCCCATCCATTTGGCCCCCTGGAATTGAGCAACAAGCAAGCTGGCTAGTTTTTCCAGCATAGGGTGGCATCCCCAGTTGGGGTGCAGCTCTGCCTTCAGGACAGCAGTTGCTGTCCCTCCTGTCTTAACCCAGAAGCCCCCAAGACAACACAGGCAGTGTTCCATGTGCACGACAGGGATTAGGCAGCAAGGGGTGCTGCCCAGGAGCCAGAATTCCCCACCCTCTGCTGTGTCACCAGTCCCGGGGCCCTGGCACCTGCCACCTGCCTTTGCCCCATGTCACTTCTGGGTAGCCCGCTGTGCCCAATATACAGGATTGACATTTTTTTCCTTTCAGCACTAAAAACCATTGGAAGTCCCAGCAACAGCCAACCTCTTAATACTTCCAGACTGAACTCTCAGACTAAAGACTAAAGCGGACTCTCACCAAGCCCCACCCCACCTGTCATGCACCCTCCAGGTCTACCTGCCTCCCACCCTTTTTTCCCTTCTGTCCCACGAGCTGTGTGAGGTTGCTATCCAAATAAGAATTGGGCCCCACAGCAGCTCATGCTGCAAAGGCACGAATAGTCCACCCGTGGGCAGAGGTGGCTTAGTCTGTTTGCTGGTCTGGTCAGTGGAGGGACAGACACCCCTGAACCCAGGTGCTGCTCAGGGTGGACCCTCAGCACAGGTACCGCTGCCCCTGATGCTCACCCTTCCCTCCTCCCAGGCTACGGTTACACGACGCCCCTCTCGGACGCCGGCAAAGCCTTCTGCATCATCTACGCTGTGGTGGGCGTCCCCTTCACCATGCTGGTGCTGACAGCTACCGTGCAGCGCCTTGTGGGCACCTTCACCTCTGGGCCCCTGGAATACCTGGCCCTCCGCTGGGGCTCTGACCGCCGCATCCTGTCGTGGGGGCACCTGTTTGTGCTGATGGGCCTGGTGTTGGCAGCCTTCTTCTTAGTGCCCGCTGCCATCTTCAGTTCTCTGGAAGAGTCCTGGAGCTTCTTGGATGCTTTCTACTTCTGCTTCATCTCCCTCTGCACCATCGGCCTGGGGGACTACGTCCCTGGGGAGCAGCCTGGGCAACACCTTCGCCCCCTCTACAAGGTCTCTATCACAGGTGAGTAGCGCTCTGCCCCAGGAACAAATGGAAAGGCCATCCCACCCGGAGAGCATCCCGGTGGAAGGTTGAACCAGAGTTTTGATGGCAGGTTGGTGCTGGGCACCCCACTCCCGCCACTTCACATGGGCAACCCGTGATTCCCAGGTGGGCAAGGAGGAGGGAAGAGCCTGCCTCTCTTCCAGATCTCTTCCTGGCTCACCCTCCCCGCTCTCCTTCCAGTTTACCTGCTTCTGGGGCTGATGGCCATGCTGCTGATTCTCCAGACCTTCCACAAGCTGGCAGACCTGCATGGCCTCTCCGAGCTGGTCTTCCTGCCCCCGGAGCAGCCTCCCGAAGAGCATCAGAGTATCCTGGGGGAGCCCAGCTGCCCCTCTGAGCCAGGGCAGAGGGAGCAATTGCCTGCACACCCCAGGCCAGGAGGCCCATCCCATTATTCCTCCATTAACAGATCGTAGCAAGGAGCAGCAGGGTGAGAGTCGGGGCTAACCCACAAGGAAGACTGGCTGCTCTCCTCTGTCCCTTCCTGACCAAGGAAACGAGGCTGCTGGACGGTCCACTCCTGTGGAGGGCAGGGGAGGGAATAGAGCTCCTCTCTGGCCAGGAGAGGAGAGCTTGGGGAGGCTTCTGGCTCTGCCTTTGGATCGGCTGGGAGGGGGGATATTTAAGAAGCTCAGCTAAAAGGCTGGAGCTCCTAGGCCCTTCATCCCTCCACAGTGACTCCTCCTCCTATCACTGTAGTCAGTGCAATGTGGCCCAGTATCCTTTGCTTCCAGCTGTGGCTTGAGCTGCCGAGGCGGAAGTGGGGGCGGGGGGGGGGAGCTGTGCGCTCGAGACACCAAAGCCTCAAATGGAAAGTGGAAGGGAAGGGCCCCAACCAGGGTCCATTTCTCAAAACATTTTGCTACTGACACTTCACGCCAGAGAAGACAAACTGGCGGGGTTCGCTCTGTGTGCGCTTGACTGCAGAAACCCTTTCCCCTTCTGGCTGGTGAGACCCCAGAGCCACCCTGGAGGCTGCTTGGCCTGTGTTGCTATTTCCACCCCCACCCACCCGCCAGTTAGTCCAGCCAACTCTTCCTGTGTCCCCCCCCCAAACACCTGTGCCCCAAAGGGAGGGGGGACTGAAGGTACTCCTTGCTGGTCTCTTCTCCTTAGAGAAGCCAAATCTGTCAATTCCTTTTATAGAAAATATTTATTGGTCCAGTAACAGCAGTGAAAAAGTGACTGTGGCCCCAGCTGGCATGCTGCCAAAAAGGCTGACAGCCCCTACCTGGGTTGTGGGCATCTTTGGATGCGCGAGAGGGCTTAAGCGTCTGTTCGAGCAACAAGGGAGGTGGCGCTGGGGGAGCAGAGGTGGTGAGCTGTGGGGCCCCTCTCCTCATGACAGGCAAAAGGACCTGGGAAAGGTTTGGGGCTGTGGGCTTCTGTGCTGCCCTTGGTCCCGAGGGTAGGGCTGGAATCCTGTTAGCAGGCGTTCCCTGGGACTTGGCCCTAGTCCCATCCCCTCTGCAAAAGCCCTGTGGGCCCAGGGAAGGACTGGCCCCAGTGCTCCTGCCGGTGCCCTGCAGGGTAGCTCCGCTGGGAGTCTTCAGCAGATGAGGAAAGGGTGCCGGGGGGGGGGGGGGACGCCTTCCCGTGCACGCATGGACAACGAGGTGGGTGGGGGGAGAGGAAATGTTTCCAATCGGAGGCAACACCCCCTCCCTGGGACAGGGCAAGGAGGCAGCCAGATGGGCTCCTGCCTTCCAAGGGCAAGCAAGAGGGATCCAATCCTATTTTGGAATTTTTTGGCCACCCTTCCCTTGCCCCATGGCCCCAACAAGGAGTAGAAGAGCCCCCGCTCTCCTGAGCACTAGCCCCCTCCCCAGCTCCTCCAAAGGTTGCAGGCTGAGGGGGGTGGGGCGGGCAAAGGGCCCTTTCTCCGTTCCCACCTGGAAAAGTAATAAATATTCCCCACCCACCCCCAGCTCAGGCTCGGCTGCGAGGGGTGTGGAGGCATCGGGGGAGTCGCCCTGCGGGAGCGGTGCCAGGAGGGCACAGGCAACGGTAGGAGCCTTCCAGGTTGAGGCAGCGGCCGCCAGAGCACAGCCTGTCCACCTCCCTGCATTCGTCAATATCTGCAGGAGGAGAGAGATCATGTCAGGCCTCCCGCTGGCCGGGAGAGCCGGGCTCAGCCAGCCAGCTGAGGTGGCAAGAAAAGGGGGGCCCTCACCACGGCAGGCCATGTGGGTCGGGTCAAGGCGGTAGCCCTCGTTGCAGAAGCAAGTGAACCCATCGGCAACCTGGATACACCGGCCATTCTCACAGCCACTCAGGATCCCGCACTCCTCGGCTGGCAGCCCTCTGCTGCCTCCAAAACGGCCTGCTGGTGACAGACCAAGAGATGCCAGCAGGCTTCCTTTTTGCACTGGCATGGCCTGAGCCGCCCCCTCCTTCCAGCTTCCCCTCCAGAGGCCCCCCTTCCTTCCAGCCCAGGACCACCTGCAGGTAGCTCCCTCCCTCCCCCTTTGTCACCTACTCACGGTAGTCTTCGCTGGCGCGACTAGGCCGCTCAGGGTAGGAGTGCCCACGGCCACGGGACAGGTAGGGCCAGTCTGAGTCAGGGAGGCTGTGAGGCTGGTATCCATCCCGAGGGTCTTCAGCTGGGGTCTCTAGCTGCGCTTCGCCATAGGTTGCGTCATCCAGGCCAGCGGCCTCGTAGGGGGATGGCCCATAGAGTGACTCGTGAGGGAGAGCGTCATAGCTGGGAGCCAGAGGGGCGGGCCGTGCCAGGGGGTCGTAGACCTCAGGGCCATAGGGAAGAAAGTCTCCTCCGCCATATTCGAAGGGTGCCCCCAGGCTGCCTGGCCTCCCCAACCCATAAGTGGGACGCTGGAGGACATTACACAGGGCCTCAAAGTCATCTGGGGAAAGCAAAGGGGTGGGGGCGGGTTAGGGCCAAAGCAGTCTAAATGCAGGGGTAGATGGTCTCCAGAAGCCCCCCAGCAGTATGGTGCTGTTGAACAAAGGAGGAAAGGCCCTGAAGCGTGCCCCACAGAGACTCCCCACAGCCTCTCCTTGCTATTGAGGGTCACAAATCTAGGGAAAGGGCAGCAAGACACCACCCCCCCACACCTCTGGTGGCCAGGTGGAGGTGCTCAGGAAGAAGGCAACATTCTCGTCCACCCGGGCCTGGAAGAGCTGCATCCTCAGCACACACCACGGGGCCTGAGGGGGCACCTGGAAACCTTATTGCGTCAAATAAGGACTTTCCACCCACGGTCAAGATGGCCTCCAGCTCCTTGCCAGGAGGACGGGTGGCATAAAAGTTTAATCAATAAATGAAAACAGGCGTCTGGGAAAAGGAAAGGTGGCTGCAGTTCTTCCTTCCCAGCACCTGCCTCTCCTTTCCTCTTCCCTGTTCGTGAGCCTGCAAGGGGGGGGGCATGGGGCCCGCTCCTCGGCTCCATCCTCAGCTCCTGGGGGAAGAGGAGGGCACCTACCTGAGTCCCGGGCTGGACACAGAGCGCAGTTCATGCTCCAGGCCTCCCCATAGAGGCAGCAGCACTCCGTGTAAGTCACCCGCCGGTCCAGGCGGGGTCGGCGGCACACCAGGTCCGGGCCCACCTCCTGCCAGCAGACGGCCAGGTCCTCATCTGGAGGGGGAGGAGGGATTGCCAGGACGACTCCCAAAGAACCAAGGCTCCTCCCGATGCCCCCCCCACCCCCCCGCGAGGCTGGGCCTGAAGGGGGGGGAATACGAACCCAGGCCGTGGCTCTCATTGGTCACGCATCGGCGCTGGGAGGGGTCCAGCACCAGGGGAGCTGTGCAAGAACAGTAATAGGAGCCAATGGTGTTGATGCAGTGGCCCCCCACGCAGGGCTCGGCTTCTTCATCCAGACACTCGTCGTTATCTGGGGCAACAGGGGCATTGGTCACTCTCGGGCCATGAGCACCTCAGAAGCAGGGAGGGAGCAGTGCTCACCGATGCACTCCAGGTGCTGCGTCTCATAATAGTAGCCATTGGGGCAGTAGCAGGAGTAGCCAGGGATCTTGTTCAAACAAACCCCGCCCTTGCACACCAGGGAGCCGAAGAGGGTACACTCATCCACATCTGTGTAGGAACACCGAGTTGGGCATAAAGGGAAAAAGTGAAGACTTCTAATCCACTCTCTTCCATGTGGGACCCCGTCCCATTTAAGCTGGCCGCATCCAGAGCCCCCCAAGTGCGCACCTGTAACTGCTGGGACGTTTCTGACGAGGACAGCAGTGTAGCCCCTGCCGTGAGGACACAGAGCCTGGAACTCGGCTGCAGGGAAACAGGCCGCCTGTCAGCAGCTGCCCCAAGGCCCCCAGCCCCCCTCCCGGACTCAGCCTTCACAGGGCCCAGGAACACCCACAAAGGGAACCTGCTCCTGTCTGCCAGAGACAGAGGGGGCTTCTGACCGGCCAATTCTCAAGACCACCTGCAGCCCTCCTGGTGCCCCAAAGGCCAGGCCGGCGCTTCGGTTCCCATTTGGAGCACAGCTCTCCCCCCCCCCCCCCCCCCGTTCCTTTTGGATTCCTAGAAGTCAGGAGCAAAGCTGGACTGGAGGGCTGCTTGCAACATCATTCCTCCCCTCTGCATTCCCTGCCCCCGACCCCCCAGACCAACACAGGGGCTTGGGCTAAGAACAGTCAGGCAAGCAAATTAACTTTGGGAAAACCCTCAAGCCCCTCCCCCTTGTTCCCATGACGACAGGGGATCCTTTCACCCACAGGATCGAAGACCCCAGTGCCATCGAGCAGCCTCTAGAGCTGTAACTATTTTCGGCTAAAATGATATGCTTTTTCCTTTTGTTGTATTTTTCACTTAAAAACATTTCGTATGCATTTGCTTTGACAAAGCATGTAATTTTATGTTTGTGTGTTTTTCCCAATTCTCTGTCATTATTTAAAAGCCGCAAAATAATAAGCTTTTGGTAGTGGGGGGGGAGGAGCAGGTGCGAGATTCTGTGCCTGGAGCTATTCCAACCCACGGTTCCTTCGCTTGCCCCCCCCCCCGCCCCCCGGTTGACCCTCCCAGCCTTACCTGTCCCCAAGGAGGGGCAGGCCTGGATGTGGCAGTCGAGGCCCCACCCGTGGCCGAGGCTGCAGCAGCACTCCTGGTGGGTGGCATTTCTGGCCAGAACGCTTTCACACGCTTGGGCGGCGTTTGGGTCATAGTAGCACTCGCGTCGCAGACCATCACCATTCTCCAACTGTGCCGCATCTGGGTGCCTGGGGAGGGCTGGGGGACGAGCTGCAGGATGGAGAAGGTGGATGGGACCCCCTCCCCAGTTCATTCAGAGAGTTCCTCCCCGAGTGTACCCTCCCCTCCACCAGACTGGGTGGTCCGAAATGCAGCTGGCAACCTGCCTGGCAACATTGTCCCTCTCCTGCAGTTGCTCTGCTGGCCACAATCGGCTGCTGGAGGCTCCAGTTCACCTTTAAAGCCCTGAAGGTAACCAGGTATCTGCAAGTCCCCCCCCCCCCACAACCCCCCGCCTGGCCTTGGCTGACCCATTTTGATCAGAGGTGGGGGGGGGGCGTCTTCCCAGCAATCAGGGGTGTCCTCAGCCCTCCTTCCCATATCATTCCACAAGATCTTGGGGGGCTGCCATCGTGGCTCACCTTAGTTACTTGCCTGACAGTTTTCTATTTGTTGTGTTGTTCTTGTGTGACCTTGAAAACCACCCCAACTCTTTCGGGAAGCGGTTCGGAGCGGTCTCCCACCAAGGGCCCCCCACTGGGAAGGCTGCCCCTCTGCTCTGTGGGTGGGAGGCTGGGCCAGTGGCAAGTATGCCATGCTGACCCAGCTCTGGGGGGGGGCTTCCCTCTTTGGACCTTTGAAGCTTACCTTCCTTCCGTCCCTTAGGCCCCTCCCCGCTCTCCAAGCCTCCCCCCGCCCCCGGTCTCACCAGCACTGGGCAAAGCAATGCAGCGGCCAGTCATGGGGTCAAACTCTTCCCCGGTTTGGGGGCAGATGCACAGGAAAGAGCCTTCCACGTTCTCACACGGTGCTGTTCCACACACCCCCTGCAGTGTCTCACACTCATTCACATCTGTGAGGAACGGATGGAAAAAAGGTGCCACTGGGATCCAGGTCTCCCCCTCCCTTCCTCCTCCCCTTCTCCGTTCAGTCTGTCCCTCGGCCTCCATCCCCTGCCCTGCTGCCAGCCACATACCTAAGCAATGCCGCCCATCCCTGGCACTTTCATAGCCCTGGTCGCAGATACATTGGAAGGAGCCGAGCAAGTTGTGGCAGATGGCATGGGCACCACACGTGGAACTGTTCTGACACTCGTCCACATCTGCAAGGGTCACGTATACCCACTCAGAAGAACTGTGATCCTTTGGCAAGTCACTCAGTTGCAGAGGTCACCGCTGTGAGGCTCCTCCTGCCCACGGTCCAAACCCCATGGATGTCCTCACCTATGCAGTCCCCAGCAGCAGCGGCTCGGTAGCCCATCTGGCAGGTGGCCACACAGTGATAGGAGCCTAGTGTGTTCTCACATCGCTTCTCTCCACACGCTCTGGGCTCCTGGCATTCATCGATATCTGAAGGGGGAGCCGTCGGTTGGCACAGGTGCAAGG